CGCCATAGCATTTGGGATTGCAAACCCGGAAAGTTCGAGAGCTCACTAAAGAATGGCTGTGTAGAGGTGGGTGGCCAACAAGTTGGCTGACCATGCCGAGGAAGTTGGCAACTCAGTGTACTGTGGTGTGGGGTGGTGCAGGCGCAGGGTTAAAATCTAGACGCGCTCACTTGGCAGGTGGTGAAAACATGGAGGGGCAAAAATGCAAAGCACCTCGTCCCGTAGCACCCCCTCAGAGAGTTCAGCGTCCTGCGGCGAAGATGCTTGATCAAAAAGGAAACACAGGCTCTTCTCTGGACTCAAGAAGATAATTATTTCTTTTGCAAGTGATACCCCCCAAATTTACCATACATAATGTTTGTGCAAGCGTATGGTAAGCGATGGACTTTTCCAAATTTGTGGATGTCCTTTACGTATCTCTAAATGAACCTATATTTTCCGAGATTGCTCAAATAACGTCCTGACACAAGCAATGGGGCGGAAGTCAACCACGCCCTGCCTCCCAAAAGCTTTCGGACTTTCGGTAACATAACAAAAAATGTTTTCCGCCATGTTGATTGCACCACGCCAAAAATCAACACAGCATCGAAAAAAACAAAAGGAAAATATCCAAGACGTCTGGCGGCATATACTTGAGTCGGAAAACCCAGTTGCGCATAGCATACAAGCATGTCAGCCGCAGAACCAGAGCCGAAAGAACGGTTTTAATTTCTTTCACCACCCATTAAAAATGTATACATATCTGGAAAGGAAAAAACTATAATTAGTACATTAGTTTGGAAAACGGACTGAAGGCACCTGCGCCCATCTATGTTCATTTTTTTCTCGCTGTGAGAAGAGTACGGGTTGCCACTAAGAATTGCGTAGACGGCGATGTACAAGGAAACAGTGGAAGGCATCGGTAAAGAACATGATGTGATAGAAAATGTGTATTGATGCATGTTGATCATGTGTGTGTGAAAGGCTTGTGTCTGACAAAGTTGTTTGTGAAAGAATTGTGTTTGAGAGAGTTGTGTGTGACAGAGTTGCGTGTGACATTGTTGTGAGTGACATTGTTGTGTGTGTGACATTGCCGTGTGTGAAGGGATTGTGTTACAATTTTGCGTGTGAAAAAATTGAAGGAACACCATTACTGTCACTAAGTGCCACCCACACCTGCCACCCAAATGTTCCCTGACGGACACCAAGTGCCACACTTGCCACACAAAAGTGCCGTGACCGCGGCCTGAGTGCCGCGGCTGCCACTTCTTTCCACGCACCCAATTTGATTTGAGTGCGCATGCCGCGCGTTTTGATGAAATTCATTAGTATGCGCATTTATCATGTATCCCCTAAAAGGTTAATTGGCAAAACGTATGCGTTGGTTGGCTGTGGGTTTACATGATTTTTACATGAAATTATATAGTCGTTTAAAAATTGAACTCCAGAAAGATGCGGAAACATTGGAAGATTTGGAAGCAGCGAGGGCAAAATACACATGCTGATAGAGGATGGTGGCAGTGACGGCCGGCGGTAAAAATTGGAATGAATGTTTTCAGCAAAGATCCTGAGGCAACAATCCAAACACTTTTAGCGCCGCTACGCCTGAAAGGTTGACTTTACCCCGGCCAAACTGTTGTCATGTTTTGGATGAATAGAACAATTTTGGATTGCCAGATGGTACTGTATGATACTGTATGCATGTTGTTACCCTTTGTGACGCACCGTTTTATTTTAACTTGACGTCGAATTCATTGCAAACATTTTTTCAAACACATAGTATGAAACAAACAGGAGGCAACTTCCTCCAAAACGGTTGTGCCTCCCGAACCTTCGCCGTTCAACCAGGCACATGTCGAAGGCGGCCTTAACCAAATGAGACTCAGCATTTCTGCCTTCAAACGGGTTTTTGCACACGACGTGCTATCGGCAGGTTTTATATGTTTTATGTTTGGCAAAAAAATATATCGATCGGCCTTCCTGCCGTGCAAACTCGCAATATTTCGGACTGATCGCGCGCTGGGAGTATTTATGAGCAGGACTGGCAGTTGTGGCGCGGATTTTAGGTTCAAGGACGGAAACAATCAATCAAAGCATTATAATTAATTACTCCCGTTACGATGATCATGTTTCAGTGGAAACCGGTTTTTTTGAACATTGTATGGCTGATATGTTTGCAATTGACATTTGTAGTGTTCTTTTACAATTTTTGCCATGTGCAAAACATGAACAACATCACACAATCAGGAATGATGCATGTCGACAACGTAGCAACCTAGTAGACCAAGGTCTCCTTAATCATGAAATTGAGGGCAGAAACGTTGACTCCATGGCGGCAACACCCAAAGACAGGTGGCATCGTCCGGCCATATCATCAAACATTGCTTCGGTGGATCAAACATGTGGTCGGACATTGAATGTGATGTCATATTTTGGCAACACCTGCGGGATCCTTCAATTTTTTTTTTGTGGTACATGGAGGGGTTTTGTTTACCCATTTCTCGTTAAATTTAGTCCTGAATTTGATAAACCGCTGATTTCGATACCTCATTTTGGGAGGCCTGTGATGCTGCCTTATACCGTATAATTACCAATGTTTCCGCAATTGCAGCAGCTTCAGTGTCGTGCAGGCAGAAACCGCCACGACCGCCGAGTGCATCAAAGTCATCACCAGGCAAAATTTATATTTTTTTGTCTCAAATTTCAAGAATTGGTTTGGTCTTGATCGGAGAAAAAAACCGAAATCAGTTCAATGTGTTGAAGATTTAATTACTTCGTTTACTATATTGATAACTTTGTTTACAGTCAAAAGCGAGGTTTGGATTCGAATGGTTTTGTTTGTTAGGAAACGTCGCAGAATGCAAATTTGGCGAGGTTCTTCTGCGCCCACATCTGCGACTAACACGCCCCGGGACGTGGTGCACAAACATGTAATTTTGCAAGGAACTCAGCTATCCAAGGGAACTGCAGGAAATACATGCCATGCCAACAGGCAACGGCACCAACAACGGGTCGGACCTGTGGGGCCGTCATCTTGTCCGTGTGGTTATCATTACTTTTTCTTTTTCGACGGTGTGACATTCAGATGTTTTCCGGACCGTGTTTTCTGCTACAGACTAGGCCGGCATCGTCGCAGCGCCTGGTGATCCAGACGTGTAAAGCCAACATTCCTGCAGGCGGGCGTCGGCTGTTTGCCCAATGTGTTTTAATTTTTTCCCCTCGGCTGGAAATTGTCAAAGCCAGGACAGATTTATAGATCTTTTCCGTGGCAGCGCGAATGCCATGATTTGACCAATCCGGCGCAGCAAAATTTATAATATCATTTTGACTCTGGGTTTTTCCGATGCAAAAGTTGTTTTTGGCTGCTCTGGGGGAAACAAAGATGCGTGCACTCAGGGCGTTCTCACCTTCACATACGCCTTGATCCATGCAGTAGTTACAGTAGTTTGATTTCATCCGGTTCCAGAACCATTCTGATCTTGCAGGCGATTGGGTCAATGCCTTGGCTTTTGGGTTTGAGACTGCGACTACGATCTGGGACGCGAAAATAAGCAATCAAGACAAGGATTTGCAAGAATGGTTGTCGTTTTTTGAAATGTCGGTTGGAAATTGATGGACGTTGGAAGGCCACCACTTGCACTTGTATTGTATAAGTATGCACGATGTGTATAAGTATGACTGTATACATGACGAGGTTGCACTAGTTTTTTACGTCAACCGTTCCATTGCCTACGCAGCAACTCCAATCAAGAAAAATTAGCCATTGTCGATGTTTGTTGCCCAGGTGAATGGAGAAATACGTGTGCCACTCAAGCGTGCAACGTGCCACGCGCTCCTCAGCTTCGGTGCGGCAACTCAACGCCAAAGGTCCACGTCTGTAGGGTGTTGGGCTCACGTTGGGAAGCCAACAAATTTCCTGCATCGGAGGCGATAAGTTTAATGATCGTCCTGTTGTTGTGTTGTTGGGTTCTAGTTGTTTCACATCGGTGCCCATGGACTCATCATTGCCCATCATTATGAAAGACAATTTCACCATTTTTTGGCGCTTGGATTTCGATGTCATGTTCTGTGTGGGTTGCAGTCTTTAAGTGCCCAAGAAATTTGTTTGGCCTTCGGAACGGCCCACGGGGGTCTGCGGAGACCATGTGCCATGGCAGAGAGCGGAGGAACGGGAAACTCATTATGCTAAACCGATCCAAAACGCAATAAGTACTGCAATCTTTAGTGATGATGTTACTGCTGATGATGTCATGATTCCTTTTTCGGTATGAATATTTTTTCATTACGATGACGATTACTGATGATTGATATTCTGACCCTGGACGTTGACGTAGAGGTAAGATGCCGGTGGTGAAGATGAAACATATAAATGGAGAAGAAGAAGCAGCCGATGATGATGATGATGATGATGATGATGGTGATGGTGATGGAGATGGAGATGGTGATGGTGATGGTGATGGGGATGATGATGTTGGTGTTTATGGTGATGCAAACCAGTGATCTGAATTTAGGGGGTGTTATGGGGTGATGACAACAATCATCTTCGATGCTTAGATGGTGACAACAAATTTGTATTTGTGATTGCGATCATGAAATGGCAACAATGAGGGTGATTAATGCAATGATGGTGGTGAATGTGGTGATGATTTTGGTGAGGATGATGAGGACGATGGCAGTGGTGATGGCGGTGATGATGATGTTGGCGATGAGGACAGCAAAGAACATGAAAGATGTTAGATGATCATCAAGCAACGTTTGGATGTGGTGATGGTGGTGATGGTGATAGCTTAGCCGTGGCGATCGGGGCGGTGATAGCGGCAGGGGCGTGATATCGTTTTTTTTTGGCCATCCAGCAATCAAACATAGCATTGGACATTCTATTTCTGTAATATATATTGTGGTTTTAAGAATCATGTTCATCCATGTTCATCCAATTTCTCAATGATAATGATTCCTAACGGGGGAATTCCATTGCCATGTTTCATTGCCGGACAGTAGTGGGTATTTGTTGATTGGTTGTGATGGGTGGTGGTGCGTTCACACATTGGTTTGAGGGGTGGCCGCAACAGCAGCCGAAGCCCTCCTCGACGAAGAGACAGCCGAAGCCCTCCGAGGAGTGGTTAGCACGGGCATTGGAGGATGCAGAACATAGGCGCCCCAAATCGCATATGCCGGGTGCAAATTAGTTAAGAAGCAGTTGTACAACCATAGTTTTCCAAGTTATGTCCAAACCAGTTCTTTGGTTGTGGGTTTGCCGCCAATTCGTGATCCGACTTGAATCCTTAAACAAATTCCCTAGAGAACAACTGAGTGCAACTGGTAGATAACGATCTGGAGTGGTTTTTGTTTTGTCATGCCGCGTCCTAACTTAAGCAAATGATTCTCCGGATCTTGGGGAATTTCGCTTCACTAGCAGGAGAGGCCGAAATGGCAAGGATAGCCGGAGCCCACCAAGGACCGGGTTGTTCATTGGCACATTCCTATCTATTTTCAAAACCCTTCCAACTGGGAATGACAGAGTCTACCTCCGACAGCAAACAGGTGATGGAACGATCAATGATGGTAATAATCAGCCTGTGCTCGCGTTTTCCCATTTTTGGATATTTTTTGGAGGGCACACATGGTTAGCGTTTTTGGGCCAGTGGCCTTGGGTATCTTCCAAGTGTTGGGTCCAAACATTCCCAAACAAAGGACAAAAACCATTACCATTCTGATTGTACATATCATATTCATATACCTTCACAGGTTACACCAGAAATGCAACCAGAATGCAACCATGATTGGTGGGTGCGCCTGCTGTGTTTTGCCATCCGGTAGTCATGCGATTGAGCGAAAGCCAACCAATGACTTCCCGCATCCCCTACCCCCACATCACCAGCACTCCCGGTGTTAGTGTGACCATATCCATGTTTGGAAAATGCGATAATTATATTTATAATCTGCTAATCTCACATGTCAATTTCCCAGTATCCCGGCTATCCCCCACATTCCGTACTTCAGAACCTTCAATTCTCACATGTTAATGATTGAAACAAATATATAATATATATATATAATATATATATATACCTAGCGCATCAAGAACCCACAAATTTGTAGTTTTTTTTTTCAAAAACCCGGTTTTTTCTTCAGTTATGAAAAAACCTGGTTTTTCTCAGAAAATATTGTTTTTTTTCTTTACTAGGGAAAAAACATACTTTTTCTCACACTTGGTGTCATGACATCTCATGATTCGTTCCCTTAGACGATTCAAACCCCTTTATTGATACCAGCCTTGGATCTATCCCTCTCAGTACCCTTCATGTTGATTATGCTTCCACCCTGCTGGCTTTGGCTGGCAGTTCTCACAAGAAAGGGCCCGATGCTCTTGGAAAATGTCGGACAACATTAAGTGTGATCACAGTCAATCTGGAGTCGTTAGATGATTTTTTCCCAAGAACCACCCCTAGAAGCATAAATTGAAACATGGCTGGATTTTTTCATTTGGAAAAAATGATTCTGGATTGCCAAAGTCCGACAAACAGTGGAACAAAAGTATCGAACCAAATTAACAAAATCATGAAAAATCATGAAAAATCAATCGGAAATTTCAGTTTTTAATCATTTCGGATGAAAATTTTAGGGTTTGTACCCAAAAAATGCCAAAAAACCATATTTAAGCCGTACTAAGCCGTACTTAACCCATATTTAACCCGTACTAAACCCATATTCTGATAATATAGTAAAAAAAAACTCGTTTTTTTGGAACCCATATTTAAACAATATTTAACCCATATTTAACCCATACTAACCCGTACTCAAAATGTGGGTTTTTTGCCTCTGCCAATTGACGGCGCGACGTCGAGTTTTAAGGCTCCGCTTGTGGTTTTGCAAGATCGAACCGGTAATTGCCCGATCCAGACAAAAAGAAAACAACACAGATTACCGGAGCTATTGTCAATTTACTGGGTTCATATCTGAAAAGCTGACTTTTGAAATGCCATGCATATCCATTGTGACTTTTTGACTGCCTCCAGTCCCGCTGAAGGGAAAGTTCGCAGCATAGGAGGCAACTGCGGCTGGTGGAGAATGCGCACATCGTGTCTGATAACGCTTGCTCGGTTTCGATCGCGCGTTCTGTCTGACAGATTTCACAAGTTGTCAGTATGAAATTGCTACATGTAATGAGGAGAAATTTGATACAGGTGCAGCCGATTGGGACAAATTTGTGCAAATCCAACAAAAACCAAAACATGGGTCTTTACAAAAACCCGGTTTTTCTCGAACGAAGATAGATACATATATATACTCAAAAAAAAACAATGATTGGCAGTTAAACTATTGTCTCTTATGCGAGCATGGGTGGCTCATATATCTCTAGGAGGGCTGCGCGGCGATCGCCGCCCCGACGAAGCTCACGGAGCCCACGGCGGCGCAGTCCGCCGCGGTATCGGAGTCGCAGCAGAGGACGAGGCCAGGTACCGTGGATGGGGGACATATGGGAACACATGGGTGAGTTATGGGAATTTCATGCATTAATTATACGAAGGTTTGATTTTGATTTTGCTTGGTTGGGGGCAGTTCGCACCGATTGCCGTTATTCTTGTCAAATTGAAAACATTTGAAAAGTCAAGATGTCAGCGGGTAGAGTTTCATTCTGCTGCTTTACGTATCTTTTTCATCGGAAGCCATCCACAAGATCATGGAATGGAGGAGGATCAAAATCCCCATTCAAAGATAGATGAACTCCGTCAAATTTTAGATGATTAAAACTCAAGTTCAGATGAGGCACGCAATTTTTTCCAACACTGGGACAGGCTATGGTGAATTGCTATGTCGTAGGGGGCAAGGAAAAAGAACGGTGCTACCAATAGATGGATGCAACGTGTGTTAGATGGATGGCACGCGATTTTTTCCTTCAGTTTTGTAACCCGCTACTTAGGTCTTGCGGGGACCCTGTCGCAGTCATTATTTCCATGGTACGGCCCCTTCCATTTCCAAGCGCAGAAACCTGTGATACCCAAAAGCGGATGATCATTGCTAACAGATGACCGACATCCTCAGCTGTCAGGATTATATTCACCATTAACTATAATCTAGCTATGTATGCAATGAAATGTAATGTAATATAAAGTGAATTAATGTAATGTAATGTAAGGTAAGGTAATGTAATGTAATGTATGTATTTGTATGTATTCATGCATGCATGAATGTATGTATGTATGAATGTTATCTATGCATGTATGCATGCATGCATGGATGGTTGTATGTATGAATGTATGTAATGTATGTAATGTATGTAATGTAATGTATGTAATGTATGTAATGTAATGTAGTGTAATGAAATGCAATGCAATGCAATGCAATGCAATGTAATGTAATGTAATGTATGTATGTATGTATGTGATGTATGTATGTATGTATGTATGTATGTATGTATGTATGTATGCGTGTATGTGTGCATGTGTGTATGTGTGTGTATGTGTTTATGTAATGTATGTAATGTATGTAATGTATGTACTGTATGTAACGTATGTAATGTATGTAATGTATGTAATGTATGTAATGTATGTAATGCATGTAATGTATGTAATGTATGTTGTGTATGTTGTGTATGTAATGTATGTAATGTATGTAATGTATGTAATGTATGTAATGTATGTAATGTATGTAATGCGTGTAACGCATGTAATGTACGTAATGTACGTAATGTACGTAATGTATGTAATGTATGTAATGTATGTAATGTATGTAATGTATGTAATGTATGCAATGTATGTAATGTATGTAATGCATGTAATGTTTGTAATGCATGTAACGTATGTAATGTATGTAATGTATGTAATGTATGAATGTATGTAATGTATATAATGTATGTAATGCATGTAATGTATGTAACCTATGGGAATGTAATGTAGTTATTGTAACGTAATGTAATGTAACGTAACGTAACGTAATGTAATGTATGCATGGATGCCACAAATCACAAATCGTATTTGTATTACGTAACAACCGCATGTTTACATTAGCTAGCATATATCAGTTTATAAGTGCTAAATTGCCCTGGTTAAATCATGTTAAATCAAATGTTTGTTTGTATGGTCAACGAACTGGGGCACCACTTTGTGGGGCACCTCTAATTTTGATGCCGCTGGCGCATGAGGCGGCGACTCCTACCGTATCCCTCCGCCCAAGCATCGGCCAGAGGGTGTGTCCCAACCAGCAGTGCAGATCACCCCTGAGCCTCGAATGAAGGGGGTCTGAAGTTCCCAACAGTGTAAGCTCGGAGACTTCAGCCACGGTAAACGTTTCGGACTGTTTCGGAGGTCGGATTACCCAAAATTCGCATGACCAAAGTTCCCAAAGAAGTTTCCCAGGAACAGGTTCCCAAGCCACAAGTTCCCAGCAACAGGCTCCCAAAAACATGTTCCCATGAAAAGGTTCCTTCCCTGCAACACGTTCCAAAGCAAGGGTTCCCAGGAACGGGTTCCCAAGCAAGAACAGGTTGAACAAGATCGCAAGCAAGGGTTCAGATTTCCGCAAGGGTTTCCAGGAACAGGTTGCGAAAAAATAGTTTTCAGGTTGCCCTGCGGGGGTCTTTAGGAACAGGTTCCAAGCAAGGAAGGGTTTCCAGAACAGGGGGTTGGTTAAGCAGGAACAAGTTCGCAATCCCAGGAAAGGTTTGCAAGAAGAGGTTTCCAGGAACAAGTTCCCAGGAACAGGTCAGGGTTCCCAGGAGCAGGTTCCCAGGTTCCCAGCAAGGGTTCCCAAACCAAAGTTTTCCGGAACAGGTCCGTTTTTGAAATATGATATGATTATGAAATTATGAATTATGAACCACCGTATCTGGGGCATCCCGGTTTTTGGACAACCCTATTTTCTCGATCTTTCTATGGTGCAAAAATCTATCAGATTTTCGGAAGTCCTCACACAGTTTATGACATTTTTTTCAGTGAGTATCTTAGCGTTTAGAGTTGGCACGGTGACAGCCATGTCCGTGTTGCAGAGGTTCTGCAGGGTTTCTGAAGAACGCAAAGAATTAGGCACTGCGAACTGCATTCCTTTCGCTCCAAATCTAATCGACAATGAGGTGATCATCAGAGCAAATAACAGCAAATGTAATATAATGCGTTTGTCCGAGAATTGGTATCACTCCAGTTGATGGCAGTTCCAATCCGAACAATGAAACAATGATGATAACTTATTGGTTTTTGGGTGGTACACTACCTTTTAGTTTCAGTCACGCCCAAATATCAAGTATCAGATTTGTGAATTTGTTGCTTACCCATGCTTATCCCATAAAATCCATAAACAATCCAACAAACAATACAAACACATCTCCTGGATAAAACATCCATAAATAATAAATGTGTTCAGGCTTATTTGATTTTAAATGGCTGGTTAAGTTAGACTTGATCCCGACCTTGAGGAGATGCGTGCAGCATCTGTAGCAGCTTGGCAGCAATATTGGCCTATAATATTATATAATAATTATGGTAATATATAATAAAATCGTTTACGCACATATATATATATATGTTGTTGTTTTAATCATAGTTGTTATACTATCATCGTTAATTATGTATTATAAACAGATGACATGATACAAACATATGAATTTACACGTTTTATCGGTTGTTAGATATGTATGCACATACCTAGAACTTCCCAAACAGATCAAAACAACGGTTCCCCTGCACAAACCCCGTTTTTTTCCCAATAAACTTTCATTTTGTGTGTGTGTGTGCGCACTTGCCTTGCCAAGCGCGTGAGGTCATATATTGATTTGCTCAGTTTGCAGACACAGCCACTGTGTGTGTGTGTGGAACATCTGAAGAGATGTAAAACTTCTACCTTGATTGACGGAAGTGCTTTTTCTTATCAGGTTCTTTGCCATTACAATGAACCAGTTTTGAGTATTTTACCAGGCGTTTATCCAATCTCCTTTTCAATTGCAGGGGGCGTGACGGTTGATTTCCTAGTCACGCCAACGAAGCTATGGAAATCAACTGGATGGAAGTTTGGACGCAAACTTCTGTACCTGCAGTGTCGCTCCTGGGCGCATTCAAGTCGCAGCTGGGGGACACGTCATACTGTGTTTTCTGTTGTTGTTTAACTGCATTGTCAAGTGCCAACCAAACTTCAACCTGAGGTTTCTCACTTCTGATCATTCAATGGCTCCTGGCTCCTGTCAGGTTTAATTGGAGTGTTTTCGCCCGTAAGATGCATTCCACATCAGAATTCGCAAAGATGTTTCTGAGCAAGTGTGTGATTCATGCTGGATTCGTCAAGGTGGCATGAACCCTTCGGGGAAAGCTTTTCCAAGCTAAGACTTGACACTTCGAAATGACCTCTGAATTGACACTTTTGAATTAGTAATTCGTCTAAGTAACGTGAAACAGCTGGCCATTTTTCGGTTTTCATCCTGTCGACTGCCGTTCGGTTGAACAGCATGCCGCTATGCCTGGCTTCACCTTTTCTTTTGTCTGAATTTACACTTTTGAATTAGTAATTCGTTTAAGTAAAGTGAACAGCTGGCCATTTTTCGGTTTTCACCCTGTCGAATGTCGTTTGGTTGAACAACGTGCCGCTGTGCCTGGCTTCACCTTTTCTTTTATGAAAAATCAGGCAACAGGACATGCTTTAGGTGTGGTTTTTCTTTCTCTTTATGGTCGTTGGTGAGGTTCAATTGTGCACAGCCGTTTACAGGGTTGTGACATGAAAGCCGAGGGCCTTTGAGCCTTATCACGAAAAATGCACGTAATGTGGATGCATCTTATTTCATCAACTAGTTCCCCATTGGTCCCCTATCTCGTGCGCGCTTTCCTCTCTAGGTCAGGTTTGGGTCCTTCGCGTTCCTAGGTAGGCTTTGGCTCTCGCCTTGTAGGTTGTGTCAGACGCTTCTGTCCGCCCCCCCCTCCTCTGGTTGGTTTTTTGGCCCGTCGTCCGTCTGCTTTTTCTTTTTCCTTGCCCTTTCAGGGTTTGCCCGTTTCGGGCCAGGTGTGTTGGTGTTGGTGTTCTCTCTTTTTCCTTTTCCTTTTTGCGTTCCCCCTCTTGTGTTCCGGTTCAGTAATTGTCATCTCATTTTCATCGTCATCTCATTTTCATCTTTCCTTCATCTTCACCTTCATCTCATTCGTCGGGGCCTTAAAAACCTCGCGGCGGCGGGGCGTGTGCGTGGAACATCTGAAGAGATGTAAAACTTCTACCTTGATTGACGGAAGTGCTTTTTCTTATCAGGTTCTTTGCCATTACAATGAACCAGTTTTGAGTATTTTACCAGGCGTTTATCCAATCTCCTTTTCAATTGCAGGGGGCGTGACGGTTGATTTCCTAGTCACACCAACGAAGCTATGGAAATCAACTGGATGGAAGTTTGGACGCAAACTTCTGTACCTGCAGTGTCGCTCCTGGGCGCATTCAAGTCGCAGCTGGGGGACACGTCATACTGTGTTTTCTGTTGTTGTTTAACTGCATTGTCAAGTGCCAACCAAACTTCAACCTGAGGTTTCTCACTTCTGATCATTCAATGGCTCCTGGCTCCTGTCAGGTTTAATTGGAGTGTTTTCGCCCGTAAGATGCATTCCACATCAGAATTCGCAAAGATGTTTCTGAGCAAGTGTGTGCACTTGCCTTGCCAAGCGCGTGAGGTCATATATTGATTCGCTCAGTTTGCAGACACAGCCACTGACGATGAAATGAAGTGAAATCAAAGATCAAGACTAACAAGTAACTAACCCATGCCAGCTGATATCAACAAAAGGGCAGGGTCAGGGCTCAGGGTTTGCGCAGAAAGCGGAAAGCGGCTGCTACTGGAACTTGAAAACCAATGCGGATTCGAACTTTGGATCTTCGAGTGGGGAAATGCAGTCGTTTATTGCTATTCAACCCTTTTTGTTTCTAAGCTGGGAGATGACAATTTGGACATCCAGTGTGCGATTTGATCAAAATTTGTTAATTTCTATGCCCCTGGGATGGTGAAAACATGGTGTCCCCAACATTTTCCCGTACTTATCCCGTATTTACCCCATACATCCCCATACTAAACCCGTATGTTCGAATTTTGAATAAAACACAGGCTTTCAAAAACCCGTAATTAACCCGCAAAAAAAAACGTAATTAACCCATGGGAACCCGTAATAAAAATATATATGGGTTTTTGGGGTCTGGCCCGTAGGCTGCCATAATAGGGTTTTTAGGCCCACTGATGGTCTTGGCGCGGACAAATTTAATGAGAAAACGAGTCGCTGGCTCATCGTGAAATGATTTTTGCAAATACACCATTCAAGTTGTTGTCGTATGCTCCTGGTATGCAAAAATTGACATTGTTTGTCGGAGCATTTTCGTCGAGGGAAAGTTGTAGGGCATGCATTTGAGAAATGTAGGAATAATTAGTTTCCCAATGTTTCCCAAGAAAGTCTCCAGCGGCACGGCACAAGACACTGGCAGCATGCTGATAACATCAAAGGCAAGAGTTTATGGGAGAGTGCACTAATGGAAATGGACAAAACCCCGTTTTTTTCCGATGTACCTGCCTTTTTGGCATTTTCGGGCTGATAGATATGCGGAAAACAAAATCCATGAAACCCCATGAGGCATCATCATTTTCCCGAGTGGAAAACGTGGTCCCCTCGTTTTGAGACAAATCCATTTTCATTTTTTAAAGCAAAGCGCCACTGTTCTTGCAGATGATTTGGGCATCCAAGTGTGTAGTCGCAACAGTGCTTTATTCATGAGGACCATAATAATTGATTTAGATTATTCGGGCTGAGCCGCAAGGGCGGAGCTGAAAGGGGTTTCCTGGCTGTGCTCTTCACAGGCTGGCTGTTTGGCCCCATTGGCCTCCGACAACATATCATTGCTTCTAAAATGTCATCACTCTGACATTTTTTGGGGTAATTAGTTATGACCAATGTGAATTGGCAAAGACCTCTAGTGTGGGTTGAGACATTCTAAAACATGTCGAAACTACCAGCCTCAAACCCGACATGATCTTTGCAGAATGTCAACCTTCAGCTGTACTAAACCCTGATTAGGGGGTAACCCCCGAATCATTATCATCTGCAATGTGCCAATGATCATCCCAGGAATGTGAGGGATTTCTGTATGCCACCATTGAGCCTTCGGCATGCCTTCGGCTAGAATTTTCGATCGATGTGAGACATCGTTTCGGCATACTGTGATTGATGGAATGTACGTTTTGTTTATTGCAAAATGATGCAGGTACAGTATGCTACAGTACTGTAGTTATTTTTGGCAAGGTCAGGTAGGTGGAAACAATTATATTAAGACTTAAGACATTATAGACGTGTAAAAATGGGTTTTATGTGGGCTGCATCCCTGTAGGTCAGAATGTAGAACACTCGAAGGTCTTGTGACTGTGATGCCACTGGAACATTATATATGCTAGGTTCTACTGTTTATTTACATGTGTGCACAGAACTGCGATGCCTTTGGTTTTTGATTGTGTTTTTCTACTGGGTTTGACTTTGCTCGCATCAGATGTAATATTGGAAAATCTTTGTGCATTTGTGCGCCTGTCTGAGTTAGTCAAGTCTTGTGGTTCGTCGGCTGCATCCCTAAGGATTTCACGCCACCCAGCACCATCTGCACTGTGTCTGCGGAAGTGCCAAAGAGTTATGACACTGGGTGAAGTTCCGATGGTGCCCATCTGGGACGGCGCCAACTTGGTCTTGGAACGATGGAAAATCCCATCCCTCATTCATACTAAACATCCCCCCAGAAACCATGGTAACCATGTTTAATGGGCGAAGAAACCACATATTTGGGACCATAATAGGGATGTTTTTTATTGGGGGATCATCGCGGCGCAGCATGCGCAGCGGCGCAGCTGAGGATGGCAAGAGATGCACCGATGATGTGGTGCTCCAATGGAACAACCTTCCGAAGCTTGGTCTCCTTGATGCCGAAGCAACTGACCAAAGATATCCCAAAGGGCTAAAGGGCTGAATCCGAAAACACTGCATGTATCATGTCTCCCCTTGGAATTTAATATCATTTTGAGCATTTTTGAGCCATTCCTATCCATCCCATGTTTGATTGTGTCTAGTCCAAGGGTTCCAACTTCACCTGTGGTGTGCTTGTGATTGGATGTGTTGATTGGATATGAACAGAAACCGCCTGAATATCACCAGTGTTGGTGGTTTTGTTCGAATATCAGTGGTATTGGATTTGCAATGACCTCCATATTTGGACATACCCTCGGTACTCGGCAACGCAGTAGCTTATATTTCTCTTAAAGCTCTTAACAGTAGTTCTTTTCATTCGTTCCGTTGCTACATCATGCAGGTGCCTCAGGGTTGCCGTATCATTCTGGATGTGTGCAGCCTGAGACACAGACGTCATAATCCTCCTGGACCCTCCTTGTGCATGTCACCTACTACAGTAATTAGTACTGTGCACATAAATTATGTGTATGTATATATATATATATATTTATTTATTTAATTATTTATTTATTTATTTATTTGATTTCATTTATGTGTATTTTATATGAGTATGTATGTTTAAGTGATTAGACAACAGCCATATTTGCAAATGAAATCTGTCGGCTCGAGACTTTCCGCATCCGGCTCACCAATAGTTGGATCGACGTCGCAGGGCTGATGGGTAGTACATCAACGAGCAAGGACGGGGTTCATACGGGTTTACCAGTCAACAACAGCAGGTACCAGTAACAGGTAGTTAAGCCATAAAAAGGGGGTGGATCATTGGGCATGGCATGCAAGGCATGAGCCTGTTTGTGGATGTTTGTGACTTAAACTATGTTTACTCTACGAAGGTGTATTGTATGATGATCCCAAGCGACTTGTTCGTGTTTTCAGGGTGAGCTATCCTCAGGAGATCAAGGAGATCAGAGCCTGGCTGCATGCGACCGGAGATCTTCTTCCAGCATTTTCGACCACTAGGGTGATCACTGCCTTGTCGTTGGAACCTGTTCGACAGCGCGGATGGATGCAGGGAGAACGCATGTTATCAACTGAACCAGTGACAAATGGAGCTGAGCTCAGGACCGCGACGCCTACTGCGGTGGCCGAGAGGGACTCAACACAGATGAGCAGGCAGTAGCCATGACGCTGAACAGATGATGACAATTTAAAAGAAGATGAAAGGAGAACTTGTGTTTAAGACTGCGCTATAGGATCTGTAGGTATACGACATGCCCATACATACATATACATACCCCTTTTGCATACAGAATTACATACATAAATAGACACATGTTTGTTGAAAATAAAGGCATGTTGATTTTGGTTGTTCAGAAACCGTTGTTGCCTCCAAGCATGAAGTCGTGTTGACTGGAGGCTGCTCACGCCCACGCCGTAGCTTTAGTTATTCAAGTTTGTGTGGAGGCAGTGCAGGCTCATTTGGCGATCCCGTAGGGTGGCACTTCCACAGAAAGCGTACAGTTCAGTACAGACATGTACAGACATTCTAGCATCGCTAATTAATCATAGACTTTATATTTTCGACCAGACAAGAATGGCCGAAACGTGACATGGCGCAGCATACTGCAAGGGACCATGGATGAAAATCAAACTGGTTTCTCTTGGGTATGCTGGGTGAAAGTGAAGCATGAACCCCTTAGCAAGGCTGTATTAGTTGCAGGCAATGGAGTTTTGATCACGTTCGGAACATCAACTGCCGCTCTAAGACGGGAACTTCCTTCACATCGAGGCCTCCAAACCCATGGGTTTTCCCCTGTACCCATATGATTACTATACATGGATCATTTTGAGCCATTTTGGGGACATTTTGTCAGATTAATCCTATTGCCACTTTAATACACCCCTTTCATCCCCCTTTAAGTATTTCCAAGTGGGACCCAAGAACAAGGCAACCGGTTGACTCGGCGCCCTTGTAAGGGTGACGAATTTGAAATTGTCATTTTTGAGGGTAAGAGAGAAAATGCTGGTATTTGCAGGAGTCGTCAAAAAATGTGTGCAACATGGACATTCATTTCGATTGGCAGGCGTGTGACTCAAGAGTGAAAATTTGAATTTCGCCTGCGCGGTGACTCGATTTTTCTCTTCAAGGGTGAAAAAAAAAACATTAGAATTTTATGATTTTGAGTCATCCAAATCACATCAATCAAGGCGGTATTCAATCCTCTTTTTTTTCCACTGTTCGAGGTTAGCGGTGCCAGAGCGCTTGTGGCAGTGCTGATGCTACAGTCTGTAACAAGGCAGCGTTGTGACGCCAAGTCCAGCTGTAAGCATAACTGTACCGTTTTTGGTACACCTGTTGTTTCTTTTTGTGGAGCATGGATTGAGGTCGCCATTTTTTTAAGTGTTTCCAAGTTCCATCAAGTTGTTGAGTTCCAGCAATAATGGTTCTAGATGATTTACCCCACAAACGACCCCGAAAATGATAAGTCTTAGTGAAGATATTCTGTTTGTGGTTGACCTGGGCTACCTTGAACCTTTTTTGGGGATAGTAACGTGATGGAAGCGCTCGACACGAACGTTAACATCCCCCCCCCACCCCCCCCACCCCCCCTGACGATCATACGACAACATATGCAACATATGCCTCTTCCATGTGCAACACGTTAAAAAATCGAAAATTTCAAATCCTATACCCCCATTTCGGAAAACCTCATTTTTGAAATTTGCAACCCTTCCACGGGATCGTAAATGGCACATCTCAAAATCGACAACCCTTCCAAGGGCGCCGTATCAGCCGCATGCCAAGAACAACTCCAGGACAAAGTTACGGCTTCTGCCAAAGTGGTTGATTTCCGGAATTCAGTAAGGTGTTGTTTTTGCGGGGGGGAGGCCCCACATCCAGAGATGATGAGCTGGGTAATTAACTGCAGCATCTTCCCCATCTAGGACGTCACAGTCCGAATGCCTGGTGTTACCCAGGATCGGTAAATAATTCACGGTAAGGTCATTGCGAAGTGGGAGTATTTGCCACTGCCAGGTGTCTGTACTGGAAGGTATCCAATTTTGGTCAGAAACCCGCCATGGTATTTACTGAATCTTGAAGATGGCCGCATCACACCACACCAGCCACTGAGGAACGGTTGGAAGCAGGTGGGACTGAAGATAACTCGAGAACGAAGACAGACATGTCATGGAAATTTAAGGGTACCCCATGGTGCCCGTCCGCTTCTCCAACCAGTGTCCCTCCAGAGGCCTTTCGTTTTGGGTTTATAAACGAACCACCGTCCACCCTGATGGCAGGCCAATACTTAGGCGCTCTTCTTTGTGTTTTGAGGTTCTGAATGCTGCAGAGAGAGAGAGAGTGTGAGTGGTTCATAATTGTGGAACGTGAAATGTCAATGCAGATAATTGGGCCCATGCATACAGATAGTTACATAATGTTTCACCCGCACACATACACAAACACACACACACACACGTGCACATACACATTCAACCACAGTTTCAATCAAATTCACATATCTAATATCTACATGATAATATGTATTTTTTGAATATATATATATATAATATGTATATGTATTTTGTGTGAATATGTTGGTGTCAGATCTTAGTGGTAACAATGTGTCAGAATCGCCAGGCTCCATCCAACCTGCCGGCGGTTCTGGAGAAAGTGGTGAAACCCTACCAGTGGGGCACGCATTTGCTGGTCATGGAGGCCCCTCCGGCGTTGTGCCCAGGGGACAATCCATGGAAAACCTACGAAAAACCTGAGGGATTCGCATGGTTGATTTCCGAAATGGTAATCAAACATGGCAAAAAATCAATTCCACCATGTATATCCGTTTATATATGTATTTATATAATTTTTAGTGGCTTCTCCCATTGCATCATTTTTGCAATGAATGACTCGCCATTTTGAGGCATACCACAGTACACACACACACACACTTTTTTGACAAATCCATGTGCCCATGCGTTTATACACGTGATTATATATATATATATTCATATTTATATGCATAATTGATTGCAGTTACACATTCAGCCATGCTGCAAAGTTTGCTTGCCAAGACCTGACAGTGTCGCAGCAAATTCTGCACACATCAAAGCAGTTCAACGCAGGGGTGGTACATATTGAAGAGCATCTCTCCATCTGCATAGACAAATTGAGTTATCCGACTGTAAATGGTACAATCAAACGGAATCACCAAACCATGGGCTTGAGTCAGGTGCTTGAATTATCACTACCTGCTCAGCCCCGCAATGTCCGATGTACTCCTTTGTCAAAGTAGATGGCTCTGAATCTTGAGTTGAGCCATCTATGTCAAAAAAAATGGGGGATAGATGGCTCAACTCCCTTTAAAACAGGCCAGTTGAGCCATCTATGTCCCAAAAATTGCATATTTTTTGCAATCTTCTGCGCTGGTTTCTTCCCAATTTGTTTTCTCAACATCAAGCTGCTTTTTTGGGACATAGATGGCGCAACTCCCGGAGTTGTGCCATCTATGTGGGCATTCCCAGCCTGATTTTGGCGAAATGACGGAAGTTGTTTTGAGCCAGCAAAGGTCGAGACGCTTTAACACCCAATTTTAACAAGTGACCTGAGGAACCGTTTTTGCCGTCAAGAAACAGTTCCTCAGGTCACTTGTTAAAATCGGAAGTTTGAAGGGGATTTAAGGGACATAGATGGCGCAACTCAGTTTCAAGGGGTATTGCAATGAAATTTTAAAAACTGTTTTTTCAATATATTTTTGTCAAAATATGTTAAAAAATGAGATTTCTATCCATAAATTCTGTCCACAATCAGTTTTAAAACCTTCAGTGGTTCATTTTAGAGGCGTGGCACTGAATTTTTGAAAGATTTGAATGCGATTTAAGGGACATAGATGGCGCAATTCATTTTTGAACCCCTCGAAAAAAAGATTCTGGCGTTTGAATGGGATTTAAGGGACATAGATGGCGCAACTCATGTTCAAGGTATTGCAATTGCAATGAAATTTTAAAAGTGTTTTTCCAATATATTTTTGTAAAAATATGTTGAAACATCAGATTTCTATCCATAAATTCTGTCCACGATCAGTTTTAAAACCTTCAGTGGTTCATTTTTAAGGCGTGGCACTGAATTTTTGAAAGATTTGAATGCGATTTAAGGGACGTAGATGGCGCAATTTATTTTTGAACCCATCGGAAAAAAGATTCTGGCGTTTGAATGGGATTTAAGGGACATAGATGGCACAACTCATTTTATACAATACAAATTTGTGCAATTCCACCCTATATACAAGCAAAAATGATAGGAAATGTAGTAAACTTAGTTAACAATACTCTTATGTCCATCTACTGGAGTGGCAGTTGCGCCATCTACCTTTTCATTTTAAAGTAGGGCGATTTTTTCTTCAATTGGCGGACCTCGTTTTATGTTCCAGCTAAAATAGCGCCGTTTTCTTTCTCAACCCGCGGTGCCATCTTATGGATATTTTGGTTTTTGAGTTGAGCCATCTACTTTGACAAAGGTGTATATCTTCCATTGCGGGATGATGCTGAGTCATGGGACGTGATTCACCACCCCTGCACACCTTCGTCTGGCTGTTTCAACCATTGATAGTTTCCTTCCATAAGCCTGGAATGGCGACTGAATATAAATTTAAAAGCGTTCTTTGTTTTTTTTTATGCGTTTTAGTTTTCGTGTTCTTTGGGATTCGCTGCAACCAAACTTTATCACGACCTGAAGGGTGCTGTCCTTTCCTCGTTAGTGGTATATTTTCATGCTGGTATGAGTTGGTCGTTCCGGCCAGGACGGAAAGGCCTACCGAACCCCTGGCTGCGGATCTAAAGGCGATCCAGGCGGATCGACGGGAAATCCCATCGGAAATACCCTATTCGAAATATAAATTTGTAGATGGTCCATACAGGAATGGGGACTGGGGATTTCAAGTTGAATGCTTGATCGCCAGCTGCTCTTGACACCTCAGAACTCACATCATCTCCGTCTCCAAACCCAGATTTGTCAACTTCCATTTCAACGGCCTTGTCACAAGCTTCATCTTGTCGTTCCATGGCTTCTTTGCAACCCTCCTCAGGCCCCTCGCTGGCCTTCTTGGCCTTTTTGCAAGCCTCATTGGCATTCTTGCTGGCACTGTTGGCATTTTTCCATGCCTCCCCATGCCCTGCCTCCAGTGCCAGCAAGTCCTGTTGGGAATTCATCAGATGAATGGATGTTGATGATGTTAGCATTTGTTTGCATATGCTTCGGAATCCCAAACTTCAACAGTAAGGGTCATTTCATGCTCAAAGTCAGAACTAGGGTTTAAATCTTCTGTTTCTATTCTTGGATCCATCTTTGGTATTTTCCAGAAATTTAGATGTGTCCCCACACATTCATTTCAGCCTGGTGCGGTTGCTCCATATTGTCAGGAGGGCTGCAGATGATTTGGGAGTTCGAAAAGGCCGGAACTGAACACCGGAGATAGCTTCTGCCTCTCATCATCTAGGGCTCAAGAGTATTTGCACCCATATATGCCATGTCATAACCATTCATAACCCAGATGCAATCTATGATATAGCTACTGGTAGAATCTGATAGATAATAGATAATTATATTTTGACGATCTTGATTGGTTTTTTCGGCCAGGGGCCAGGGAGATTGAAACTCCAGCGCTTGGGCGGCTCGCAGTCCTACTGGTGCGGGGCCTGAACAGACCGCTGACCCAAGGTAGTTCTGATGTTCCGTTTCGCCAGGTATGGAAAGCTGTTGATCCGGGCGCCGGTGCCAAACTGACACCTGCTGTAAACAACGTTTCACCGGGTCGGGCCTCGTGCGGAGACGTATGGAGGAAAGCGCGGTGGAAAAAAAGGTGTGAACACCTCAAGACCTCAAGATGACTTTTTGATCCACCAGAAGTTACTGCATAAGATGTATTTTTTTCATGAGAAGGGGATTCCAACATATCCCACAGGCAACCAGGGGCCATGAGTCACCCTTAATGCTTGAAGTGTATGCTGGCTTATGCTGGAACCCCTCGCCAATAAGTGTCAGTGGAGAGCCTTGTGTGCTGTGTCACTTTGCTAAAGGGGTGGTGCCATTTGTAGTAGCTAGTTTGGAAACCAGTTACTGTATCGTTAGGATAGTCTAGGGATGTCACGGCCAACTGGGGCAACCTCCTGGCGCAGTGCTGGACCAAGGCGATCAAGCCGTGCACATGCCCTTGCGCATCCAGTATTCCGAAGAGGAAGGCAGGGTTGAACCCTGGATCGCTGCCATACCAAAAGTTGATTCCCAGGAAGTGGGATCAGTTCAAATCAGCTAGTCACAGCTCTATCTCCAGCTGCCAGGGGGCCTAAGTACATACAGTACAACTATTAGATACCATTCGAATTATTTTCACCCCAATTTCCCAGTTCCAGTCCGAGCGGTTGTTGAAAAGTTGAGTCGCCAAGTACTTACCTGTGTTCTGGGCGATGGGAGTGGCTATATGTCGATCGGCAGCTTGAGGTCGAGCGGCATTCTTGTTTGAAAGTTCGACAGTTGGCAGAACATGAAAATATCAATAGTTGAAAACCCAAGCATCACTGCCAGATTATGGGTCTATGGTCCCAGTGGCTAGCCACCTACAATAGCTGACTCAAGGAACACCAAATGTTATTTTTTTAGTACCACTGCCCTCTTCATCATCATCTTCATCATCATCTTCATCTTCATTTTCATCTTCATCATCATCATCATCATATTCTTCTTCTTCTTCATCATCATCATCATCAATCCTCGTCATCATCTCGTCGTCGTCGTCGTCATCGTCGTCATCGTCGTCGTCATCATCATCATCAGCATCATCAGCAGCAGCAGCAGCGTGATGTACATCAACGGTGTCCTGATTTCAGGAATTATTCCTGCTACCATTGAAGGCATCCAGGCAAGTGCGGATGAAGGGGTAAAACAAATTGAAAACGTTTGAAACATATCAGCCAAAGAGACAGATACACAAGCGACATGGGCATGTATGGAGGCGTTTTCCACGTAGACAGACAGACAGACGGACGGACGGACGGACGGACGGACAGACGGACAGACAGACGGACAGACAGACACACACACACACACACGCACTATAAAAGCATACGAAAAATGACTGCGCATACCTACACACCGTAGAAATCCTTAAAAATCAAATGGATGTGTGCTGTCAATGTGTGGATCCAAAGGAAGCTGGACCATGATAGATGCAAGATCGCTAGCGATGCTTCCCTTAAGCTTGTCAAGTTGGTTGCTTGACGGCAGCTCAGGCAGGTCTTACTTTATTTGTGGATGGGAGTGCGGACTGTCTGGACAGGAGTGGGGTCAGTAGGGTCGGGCCAGAAATGGCTGCAAGCATAAGCGGCAATGAGTGAGATCTGTACGTTTTGGTGGCTAGCATCTGGAGGTCTTGGTGGAAACTTGGCCGTGGCGTTCAGTGTTTAATAATCCATATGTTGTGCAGCATCAAACTATGTATTTATAAATATATATATATACACAGCATTTTCTCATAGTATCCATTTCATGGGTGTCCGGTTCCAACCGGTTGACAAAGTGATTTTTCACAAAGGGGCAGCCCCAATGAACAACACGGAGGCAAATCATGGGTAATGGCATGCCAACCGGCCCACATTTTCCGAAACTAAAATGCATTCGTGTGAAAATTACATACTCTACGACTCTACGCCAAAGTCCCCAAGAATATGCGTGTTCCCTAGCAATAGGGCATGCCAAAGTCCCAATAAAGAATAAAGAATCATTTTCTCATCAAGAAATCCATCTGCAGCATCCACCAGATTGGACAAACCCCAATCCATGGGCCAGGAGTACTGACCCGAGGTCCTCTACAAGGAGCAAGGGGTGTCTGGAAGAGCCCTGCTGTTGCTGTGAAGGGGGTGGAATCCCCATGACGCATGGCTTGTCAGATGTTCTCGGTGACTTCCCCTGAAGTTAACCCAGTGAAACTCATATATGTTGGTAAAACCATAAACTTCTCTGGTTGAGTCCCTTGTTTTCTCAGTTTCATTGAATAAGTAGACCTATGGACATAATGAGAGGGGCTACATAATGTTACACACACACATATATATATATGTTATCCCCCTACTTATGGAGGTTAATGCCATTGGATGCCATTGGCATACCCATTGTTAATATCCGTTCACATCCATGGAAACACATTCATAACCATTAATTACCAGATGATACCACACTTAACAGCCACTTAGTAACCCAAGGCAACTCCAAACTTTTGGGGTCCAACTGCCTTTCACGTTCTAGACTCACTAGGCCGCTGGAAGCAACGGCCAGCTGGTCCTCAGGCAGTTTCCAAGGGAGAGTTGGGACCTTGATACAGGCTTCAACAGTTCAACATGAACCCCTTTGACAGCCATCGCAAACCTTAAGGATCTGCTTGGCCGCCATTTTCATCCACTTGTGGGATTGAGATGGGTTGACTATTTAGATCGAGTGAAACTGATCTATCCCGTCCTCCCGTCCCAATTGTCTCAATTTCGTGGTCACCCAAGCCCCAAGAGCATCAAACCGAAGGTGAAGGGGAAGAGGTGCCCAGGGCTTCAGTCATTCTCCCATGTGGGTGTGTCATTTTGATAGAGGCTTTATTCGGGGGTTTATATAATGGGATTTAATGGGGATAATGGATGATAATGGGATAGACAACCAAATAAAACCAACCATAACTATGCGTGTCTGAAAATGGGGTATACCCATAAAATGGCATGTTTATGAAATGATGATGCACTAGATTGCACTAGTGGATTTAGAGGCATTCGTTTTTCAGACAAACCCATGTCAGTCTTCAATCCGATGTGAGATGATTTCCGCTTAGTTCTTCAATGCATCACTGAAGCCTGCCAGGCTCTACAACTGCTGAAAGCTTTGGAATTGGGACCGCAGCTATGTCAAGCACAGTTGGGGTGGCTCAGTATGATCTGACGAAGGCTATGCCCTTGTGGTTGGGGCAAATTAATATAGATGATACATATTCAATGGCCCATGGAGTATCCTAAAATGGAGGTACTGAAAACATGGTTTTGGGGAAATGTTCCATTGCATAGGCCTCACAATAGCCCTTACATGTGGATACATATCATATGGTAGGAACCTCCAACTTAAGTACCTGGAAACGATCATAGATGCAGCTGTTCGCCACTGGCACGTAGGGATGCAGCTTTGGTTCATGAAGCTCATGATTCAAGCATCTTCCCGACGAGACTGCAAGACGCTGCCTCCTGACTCGCATATGGCTCGGCTAGTTATTCTTTGTCGTGTTTGGCCCGTTCAACTATTTTACTTTCCCTAGTTTCCCGAAGATTCGTTCACAAGTAGATCATTGACGGACTCGAGTTCATTTTTGTTGTAGCTTTTGCTCCAGCCCCAGCTGCTTGATTGCAAGAAATATGCAGAAAAAATGATGCGATTATGAGGCAGGCTTGCTTCTGGCCCTACATGCATCCTGATTCAAAACGCAACTGGCGCACACAACATCACCTAGCAGTAATTGACATGAAATGCCCAATCATGCCTCTTGCATTTTCAAGGGCTTTAGCATCTTTTTTGCCATGACTTGGTTTAGTCTGTCTGTTCTTCCATCCTAGCGGGGATGATGATCCTAATTGACTTTCATCTGCTTCGGTGTGGGTTTGACTGCCGCTTTGAAACCATACCAATCCATACAGCAATCTTTGCCAGTGCCTCCAAACAGCGTGCCATTTGCCAATCAACACCCTGAGCCCATGGGCCGATAGCAGGGTCCAGCTACCACATGCTGCCATAGTTTTGCACAGTTTTGCCCATGGAGACTGCGACCAGATCTGCCCTTGCATTGTTGGCCTTCAGTGCAGTTCTGGCATTTGTTCTGCAAGAGCAATGGGCCGTTTCTTTGGCAGATCGGTTGGGGCCCGAAAGTGTTGGACTGACTAGAGGCATGACCTGGGATCGTGTTTCTGTAACTTTTGTGGACACGGGATCAGTTGAAGCTGGGTGGATGTTGGCTTCTCTTTTGTATGTCGTTCATAGTTTGAGGGAAGGGAGGGGTGTTCAATACCGCGGTGCGATAGTGCCATCCAGACCAACTTGGATTATTTTGCTTAGCACGTGGTCATTAGCCATGGCTAGGACTGTGTCTCTTTCAATTGAACTACCCCTGTGTTGCCCCCCTTGGGCCTTGCAAACGAACATGTTGCATCGATTAGCAACTCTGGCTAGTTGCTTGATTTCCGCTGTACTCGTATTTGAGATGATGATCCCCAATGACTTCCCATTTTTCCAGGGCTCGAGGCTTGAGACCTGCTTGTTTGAGATGATGACCCATTAGTAATCTTATCATTACTAGCATCTAACTGAGCCTGATGACACTATGGCAGAGCGTCAGAAAACAAAATATATCAACATAATATGTTTTTTAATTATCGGCATAATTCTTACCATATTACATCACAACCATTATTATTATATGACTGTTCTATTTACCAAGGGGTTGAAATCGCGAGAGAGCTGCAGCGGACTGCCCTCGTTTGAGGTCCCTGATGTGCAGCCAACATCCGCAGTAGGCTTCAGTGCCGAGAGAAGCCGAGGAGTTCTGACGGATTTGGTTGGCTGTGGCGCCAAGTACGTGAATCTGCAAGCACTGGCTGGGAGAGCTGGGCCAAGTCAGCCGTATAAATGATAGAGAATACTCTTCATGGGTTAGGATGGGATCTTCTGCTGATTGTACTACTCTGCCCCATAGTAAACAGGGATGACTGTTAACTAGGCAGTACAATTGGATGGGATAGAGGTGATGTTGTTGACGGCTGCAAATGACGAGTTCACACTCTTGGATAAGAGGGTAGAGTATCAAGATGCCTCCCAATCTGGCTGGCTGCCCACCAGAAATTCCGTTCCCATCCATGTGCTGCATTTCATCGCTACGAGAAGATGATATTATGCAACATTTGCGTGGTTCATGTAGGTGACCAACGGTAACTACTTATGGCATCTTATAGCATAGTTGGTTGGATGAACTACTATATAACGGTAGTGACTGGAGATATGGCGTGCATAATTTAATGGTGGTACCATCCCCCAAGCTAGCAGCTCCACCCTGAGAATTGCCATATTCTTGGAGGAAAGTAATAGTCTTCCAACCCCCAACTCATATTAGGGTGGTCATGTTAGTTGGGAGGATTGTAACTATACAAGTGGTATACGACCAACTAATGAATACTAATGGTAGTAACTGGAGAGAGAATATCAATGGCAACTAACTAATATCAAGTAAATAATGGTAACTACAGTAATACCGGCCAATGGCTCACACAACCATGGGCCATTGGGAGCTGTGTACAGTAGCCGCTGAGTGCTGCACATTTGGATAAACGAATGGAAAGAATGGAAACTAATGGAAACTAATGTCAACTAATGGTAACTAATCAATGGCAACTAACTAACAGTAACATATAGTAACTAATCAATGGTAACAAATGAATAGTAACTAATTAATGGTAACTATATAAGATGATAACTATTAGCAACAGTAGCTGTCCTCGCTGATGGGGGACACACACGGGGTGGCATCTCAGGTGGGCTTTCAGTCCAACGAGGTTTGTGCCCTGGAGGCCCTGCGGCGCGAGCACCTTGGAGCAGTGGTAGTTGGATTCTGATGATGTTCTGGTTATGGTTGGGGGTTAGACCATCTGATTCTTGTTGGATTCTGATTATTATCTGAAAATTCCAATGTTATCTAACGAATCTGGGTTAGAATAGTCACAGTCATTCAACTTACCTGTTGGAAAAGATTGTCTTTTGACTGACCCCTAGCAAGCTGCATTGCTCTTATTGCAATTCTCATCAACTATCGTTGTTGTTAAAAATTGGTATCACTATGGATTATTCGCATGGCCATACATGTATGCAGCATATGCATATCTACCTGGTTTCGAAAATTAGTTACAACCAGAGTCTTCAACCATCAACGGTATGGCGCCCGGGAGCGCCAACCACTGGCCCACCGGGAAAGCCGAGGATCAATCGCACCGTGACGGAAGAAGGGGCGGCTGGAAGAGTCCTGATAGATCAGCAGTCTGCCTCCGGACACTACTATCTTGACACTTGGCATCACTTGGCATTAAGGATCTCCAGATTAATTTTGAGTAACATTGAGTAACCCCAATCGACCGGAGATGTTGAATGGTCAGAATATGCCAGCATCAAACTCGCCTTTCTTGACCCATAATTCGCTTGTTGCATCTTCTTGATGGGCAGAGGGTTCGGGTATGGTCAGTCGGCTGGCACAGGCCATCCACACACACAATTTGTATCAATTTGTGGTAGTACAGGTGCTGAAGACAGCTGACAACATGGTTCTCATATGTTCTCATGGGGTTAGAGCAGTGACATAGACTATACTATACTACAGTAGATGGACAAAATATTCAAACCCTGCAGCACGCACTATGTTGAACCCTCGCACCCCCAAATCTCAATGTTTCAGCGCGCGTGTTAGCAAAAGTGATGTTAGGGGTTTGATTTTTTTCGTCCATTGGGGCTAACGCACTTCAGGTTACAATAACATTGAACTTTGGGGGCGAGGGGGTTGTACCGGATAGAAAGGGTTTGAATATTTCGTCCATCTACGGTAGTAGTACATTATAGTACACATTTTGATGGTCACATGGTTTAACGGGTGTTTTGAGGGAAACACTGCAATCTTACATAATCTTACTGATCTCAGATGGTGAAATGAGTTCCAAGTTACCGTGTACTGTGAGTCCTGACGTGCAAGTGACAACTGTCGTCACATGCCCTGAGGACTTTATTGGCTGCTTGGCTAGAATCCATCCATCCCAACGGCCACCAATCCGTGTGGAAAGATCCAGCCTCTTCCAAGGTTCGACCAAAGAAGGGTTTTCCGATACAGAGATGGTCCCTGAGGAAAGCCCAGTGGTTCGCATTTATGAATGTATCGATGTTCAAAGATGTTCGAAGCACTTCTACTGTCTACTCCTGTGATCTCCTAGGAGCTGTGTAAGTGGCATGATTTTGTCCATCTAATAGGGTAGATTTCATCCAGGATCACCAAAAACAATGTTTCAAACTTGGGGCCAATACTGGTCTATCAACATATATATATATGTATGCCTATATATCAGTAATTATCAATATTATATATATACATATATCATATATTTCCTGTGGGAAATTGCCACAAAATCAGCGATGAAAATCCCTGTTGCCTGAGGTGGTCTCACGATCACGTACCGCAATCTGACCAATCTGTTGGTGAAGCTCCCGGCAGTTCCCGCGGTCGCGTCCGGTGATCCATCAGGGCGCCCTGGATCATCACTGCCTTGCGGTTTTGAGTGATCTTGGCGATTTGACCGGCCAACAAAAATCGAACAAAACGATGCTTGGTGTACAACTGCCCTTGAACGTCCTCAAAACCAACTCTTGAAAAATGTGTCCAGCTTGCCACTTTGGGATGATCCTGCGGATGGATGATTAGGAAATGGTTCATAACCATCTTGAAACGAGGGAAATAGATGGAAATAGAAGGTCAGCAACCTGGTACTCGCCATGCACGGACTTCTAGAACCATCCAAGCTGCTCATTTGCCATTGGGCCAGTCAGCTATCTGCACATTTGCAAGTTTATTTTACATAGTCTAGCGGACTCCAGAAGTATACTTACGTTCCAAAGGTATTGGTTGGGTAGAAGGAAAACAAGATAAAACAAGGGAGGGCAGATGACATTCACCCTGTCATGTTTTTTATTTTCAGACCATGCCCTTGGTAGACCTATGCGGCTCCTGCAGTCAAGGTGCACTCTGCTGATCTCTTCGCATTTTGACTCTGCCCTGGGATCACCTGCAGCCTCTGATGCCAACGCCAGGAGCTAAGGAGCTCAGCCAGGAACCTTCCAAAATCGCAGGGTAGCCATTTGGAGGTGTCCTAAAATGGGCGTACCCGAAATATCCCGAAATCATCCAAAATTAGATCCGTTTAGTATTGATGGTTTTGGGGATCCTCCATGGTCAGAAACCCCTATTTTCATTCCATTCAACCACCCTTGGATCGAAGGATCCAGCACCCAAGCATTGAGATCTGCACTGAGGCGGAGATGGCAATCATGACGGACCTGCTGCGGCTGATGATCCGCCAGCCGATGCCCATTGATGTGATCTTCAACTTCAATGGTGGGGAAGAAACTGGGCGGCAAGAGGTGCCGGGAGTGAGATCCGAAAATCTTTGGCAGTAAGTAGTCGAAACACTGGTGTTGATATGGCTCACACACACATGTATATATATAATTATATATATATACATAATTGTGTAACTGTATATGTTTATAATATATATATATATATTCTGCGTGTGTGTGCGTGCACTTATTTATACATTCACTCATTTATTTATTTATTTATTCATTTGTTAATCCGTTTCGCGCCTCTTCACCATGCGGGACTTTGCTGATGGCGCCGGAGAGAGAAAGAGAGAGAGAGAGAGGGATATATGCTATAGCTGCTATAGGATATTCGGATATGCTGTGAACACACACCTTTAGAGACCTGTCCCCTGTTGGATAAACGGGTTTGAAGCAGGTTTGATTTCGTAGCTGTTGTCAGAGCTTGCGGGTGGAGTAAGAGTCCTGTCTTCATAAATGTCCCCATTCAAAACAAATCCTTTTCAACGGGCCGAGGAAGTGCTTATGCCTGCTGCACATGGCACCTTGGTGTGGCTTGATGGGTGGCCTGAGGTTGTTCTGGGTGTACAAAAAGGGTTGTGCGATTCCCAACATGGAAGTTGCAGATGTCAACTTTTTTGGGCAGTGTTGTTGGACTCGTCCTCTGATGATTGGCGTAGAGATTGTGTTTTTGTGTGTTTTTTGATTGTGTTACTGTTTTGTGTTTTTATGTATCGCTAGGCAACGGGCTAGCGTGCTTACGACTTGTAGTTTCCAATTTCGATTGTGTGACTGCCATTGGCTACCTCAATTTGAGTGGAATATGGCAGGTGAAAATTGTTGGGAAAAACATTGTGCACACTCTTGTTACATTGGTGTTTTCTGTACGCAGTTTTACGGATTCATTTATGTGCGCGCGCTTCACGCGCTACCACTTATCACACCTCCAAGATCCTCCAAGGCTTTGTGACAAGCCATCCGTGGGCAAAGTCAATATGCGGCTTGTCTCAGCTGCAGTTGGCCAACAGGATTCGCGTCATTTCATATTGCATGATATTTGCGTGTGTGTGTGTGTATTTTTCCCCTGAATCAGACTTGGAATGCTAGACAGGAAGATGGCGATTGCAGATGTATGTTCAGTAATTTTGATGTCATGGGTGATTTTTTCTCAGAGCTGTAGTTGATTGTAGCCATATTTTTCCACGTGTGACCAGAGACACATACCTTTACGTACCCGAACGTGCCTTCACTTGCCCTTACACTACATACACAAGCATGAATGCATAACAAACAAACATATACTGTACATGCAGATATTCAATGATAATCATATATGCAGATGTGAATACATGCAACAGGCGCATGTAGAAACATATAGATACATACACATAAGTACAAGCCTTTTAAGCCTTCATGCACATGCATATACCTGTTTAACACGCATCGCAGGTTCTTTTTTTTTCAATGCACAAAAAACGGTGGAAAACCTCCATGGTCCCCTAGGTGCGCAGATCAACTTGGAAGCCGCAGGTCTTGGCCTTGGAAGCTCCTGGAATGGGACATGGCATGACCATCCAGCCGGCAGCAAGAAAACATGTCCTACTACATGAATCTACAGCACATGATTGTTTACACTCCCATAAGGCTGCCATTTGGGATATGAAAATTACAGATGGGTAGGATTGGATAAGTCACTTCTAGTAGTTCAGCATGCTGTGGCACAGCTGTGGAGGCTCTGGTGGTCGCGAGCTTCTCTTCCAAGCAGGACCTTCCAATCGGTGGCCTCTTGGTTTGCTGAATTGTCCAGAAGATGTCCTTCATAAATTATCCCTTTGTCATCCAACGTAGCAATCCATAAATACCTGGTTTCAATAGTCATCTAGGAATTTGGGCCATGTTCATCCATTTTCCAAGGCCATGTTAGATTACCGGAGGGTATCTTCCACTGAATGTAAAGTGGGACATACACCCATATTGGCCGCATGTTTGTATATGATATTGAGCTAGATTCTTTTGGATACAGATGGATTAAGAATCATAATTATGATGGTTTTACCTCGAGGCTAGGTTGAGGGGCATGATCGGTTTTGAGGCCTGTGGTTGTTACGAAATGTTGAGCACGTGCGCTTTATCGACAAATACCGCATCATATGCGCAATGGTCAGCATGTGGCTGAATTGTTCATATCAGGCCATGATAATCAATCCATTTGATCCATTCAATGCGATTCACATGTCCATTGTAAGGATTGATTATATACGATGTTTTGACCATCACAGATATCACAATGTAATCATTGCGTGGATGCAGGTGCTACTCCTGCCATTCGGTCTTGCCGTGCTTAGGATTGCAGAAGCCTACAAGAGCTATGTGAAACGTCCCTACGGATCCTCCATCACCCAGGCAGCGGATGTACGACTGGGGTTGACTATGGCCACGTGGAACATCCTGCTCGTTGTTTGACCCATTTAAATCCAATTGACCATTCTATGAATCGGCTTTGCAGTGTTGCGTGGGGCGTCCTCATTGGACAGCTGTGGGCAGTCACGCCGGATAGAGGGATAGTGAACATCGGCCTTCCAACAACGTGTTGTTTTTAGGCAGTGAACTATGTTGATTTTGCCCAGGCCTCTTACTATTTACCTTCCAGCCATCAGGGTCACCCAAAAAATTATTCCACACCCATTGGCCCATAGCGCCCCAAATTTCATCAAGTTTGCCCCAACCCATCCAACCCAGGCCCTGTTTCACACGGGGCTCATTCCGGGCGAGACGGATTTTCGCATCTACCGGGACTTCGGCGATATCCCTGGCGCAGACTTCGCGGTGTTGACGAACGGCTGGGTGTATCACACCTGGAGGGACGACATGGACCACCTAGACTTCCGTTCGGTGCAGCGCTATGGCGCGGCGTGGCATAGTCGTGTGGAAATGTTGGGAAGGTAAAGGGGAAACTGATTCAAGCGAGCCTATTTAGAATCCATATGAATCTATGGAAAATGTAGTCTATGACAATGACGTTTTGGGATGTTTGGGTGGCAAATAGATCGCGATATGATAGAGCTGACTTGTTTGGAGGCCTCTACATTACATTCCATCCATGTCCATCCATTGGTGACTGCTACAGGTACGGTTATCCAAGCTGGGCGGTAGTAAGCTGCACCCCACAGCTATTTCGAGGAAACAGTGCATGAGCTTGCGCTTGGCATTGCTTCAAAGCTGAAGGAAGGCCAGGGATGGTTACGGATGGTCGGGTGGTTTTACACAACATTGCTATTTACCATGATTGTCATCCTTGCTACCAGGGCAATAGAAGACGCAATAATTAGATATGACCCTTTCCACCGTATTGAGGTAAACAGCCGCACATGGGAGAACATGGGAGAACATGGGATTCAAGCAAGACCTTGTGAACACTTTTTGTGGGTTACATCATGTTACATATTGTTACATATATCTAATTGCCATGGTAGATGTTGGTTTCATTTCATTAGGTCATTAGGTTACATTCATGATCATGATCTATGTACATGTATAGATGTTCATCATGGTCTACACAAATCTTCATATAATATATAATTAGCTATGATTGTATAGATATTTATCATTGTCCATAATTATATAATTGGCTAATCTACATACCCTCTGGTAAACTAACATAGCAATGGAAAATCACTATTTTTAATGGGTAAATCCACTATAAATGGCCATTTTCAATAGCTTTTTGTATGTTCACCAGAGGGTACATGTTATGTGCACCCCAACCAGTCCTCCGATCCTCCAACCAGCTCCAGGGCGGCCTTCAGGGGCGGACGTCACAGATTCGGCGGTCTTCTTCGATGTGGGCGGCCTCTTCTTCGTGGAACCTCGGGGGTTTGGTGGGAGAGACAGCCAGCTGCGGAAGTTGTTTAGTAGCCTCTAGATAGCAAACCACATTCATATACATTCATATATTATAATATTGTAACATATGATGATATATGTATAAATCATATGCATTATTAACTGTTATTTCATGTATTAATGTATATATTATATGTCGTGTAGATGCATGCTTAGATAGATGGTACTCAAGAAAAGTGAATAGGTCCTGTCCAAGAAACGGATGTGTGAGACCCCAAAGCCCCAAGGAATATGCTGCCTCACTGGCCCAGGCCCAGCAGCTTCACATTGCAGCCTGTTTGGTGATTTTCTCTGCCTTGGCTTGGACTGGTGGTCTTGGGGTCCTGCTGTCTGCTGCGATGCTCGACATATCTGGACATAACATGTCAGGCCGGGAGTCCATGATGATCATGGTGGGATGGTTCAAAACCTATTTTTTCCCGTAAATGTGGGATGAACCTCCATGCACATCCATGAGCCAGTTTACTTTTGTTTATTTTGATGTTCACCAGGGTGCCAGGCTTGGGGTTCATAGCCATTTATCAATATGTTCAAGGCTGGGATTGGATTTGGAAGTGGAAGAAAATGCAGAAACTGAATTAAATTCGATTCACGGGAGTTGAATGGATTTGTCGGTACTGTGCGCACGTGTCGGCAAGTGCCGGTTGGTGTTAAACGCCAAGGTCAGCCATGTCACTGAAGTTTATTTTTTAGTTTCAATCGTCCAAGCACAGACATGAACCATCCCACCCTTGCGTGGATAGACTAGTTGATCCCTGCATTGCAAAGCGCTGATTTGGATTTGGCATTGGAATCAATTTTGCAAAGTCCAAGATCTGGCAGTGAAACGGAAACGTTTGCCGTTTCCCATGCTGATGTCGTTTCGTTCGCTGGAAACTGATCACATCCTGATCACTTCTTCCATAGGTCCATAGGTGGCTTGGCTGTAAACCAATCAGCCACAAATGGCGACATCTTTCGTCGCAGTGCTTACGGTCGTTTCTAAAGATGAAGCGAGAACCGCAGTGAACGATGGCCCAGGAAGCTGTTGCTTTGCGCAGTTTTGTCCATCATCTCTTCCATCCTTTCGGGTGCCTTCGTGGCTCACACCCCTGCAGCCATGGTTGCGGCTGGACATCCAGAAACTTCGGCAAAGGGAGAAGGCAGAGAAAGAAATGGCGTGGGTCAATGCAGATGGAGGTTTATTTTTACGGGGGTGGCTGGGAGCTATTTCAATTATATATATATACATAGTTATGTGTATATATATATATATATATTTGGAGCCCCCCCAAGACCTACCTTTTGTGTAGCAGATATGTTCCTGAATGCCTTGTCTTCCTTCTTATCTTATCACCCCTTGTAGCACTGCATCAGGAAAGTATCTTGGGCGCATGCGCCTGGACACATCCTGCCCACATATGCAGCTGCAGGATAGCGCTGTGACATCTATATTTGACATTTTTATTTCATTATATTTAAAGTGTTCTTTTTTATGTTTTCAGACATTTTTAGTATATGAACATGAATTTTATATCTATGATCTGATTCGTGCAAGTCTGCTTTTTCAATATATCCTGCAACATCTGGTATTTTTTCACAACCTTGAGGATTTGCAGCAATATGATTAGGACATAGATAGATTGAAATTTTGTTTTCTGTTTTTTACAGAGTATAGCATATTATGTTTTTCTTTTTTTAAAAAAACAATCCTTTTTGATGAATACAACTTTTTGGACTGATCTCCAGTTATAATTTTTAGACATATTGATTTTTTAAATGCAATTACCTTTTTTAACCCTGTTACATTTTTATAACATCCCATCAAGCTTTGGATAGTAAATTGACAATAATCAGTCATAATCTCATTTGATGTTAATTGTCTTATTTGCCCTTGTGAATCTACGTTGTTACCATTAGCTTTTTCTTCAGCATCTACATTTTTTTGTAGAAAGAAGATTTGGTATTTGTTTGCTGTAATATGGTTTTTAAATCTGTATCACGTAGATGATTTTGTAATTCATTGCTTTAAATCCAGGAGTGCTTGAGTTAGATATATTGTTTGTTAAACATAAATGATTTTGATGATCATAAATCAATATATAAGTAAAAACAAAAACACTAGATCAGTTTTTAATACACTTTTTTATAGTTCTTAATCTTGTGATTGTTTAAAGGCATTTTAGGAGTTTCTAGCAGAAGGTTCTAGCACTGGGTGAATATGCTCTATATTCTGAGGATCAAGTTTTTAAGTTAATCAAATTATTCTTTTTTTAGTAGTTTTTTTTTTCAGATTGATTTGTTTGTTTTTTTCATGGTAATATTCTACCATTTTGTGATGTGAACTTTGATAGCATTTCAGTGTTCCTATAGTCTATTACCTTTTTTCCCAAACATAAATTGCAACAATGTTTTTTAAAGTTTTTTCTTTGCCGATCTATCTGCAACCCTTTCTAATACATTTTGTTGGGGATGTTTTGATTGATCTGTAGATAAATAAAGACTATCGGATGAGCTCATGTATTTTTACTTATTATTGTTTATTTTTTCTTCTTGTTTGTTAAAGAAGTTACTGCTTAAGATTGCAGAAGGTTCTTTTTCAATTTGTTGTACTTTTTTTTATGATGAGTCTAATTACCTTTATTGCATTTTTTTCGTTTTTTGTCATTTTTGCCAAAGTTGATTGATTTGCTTGGAAAGCAAAGAAAAATAATGGGCTTTAGAATCTTCTTTTACAGGATAAGCAAATTTATTTGAGGAATGTCCTTAGCAGATAGGCCGATCATTTGCAAGAAATTGCATTGCAATTTCCGGTGACTAATATTTTTCTAAGTATCTGGATTCAAGATTCAAGAATTCAAGGCTCAGAAAAAAAACTTCTTCAATCCAAACTCTTGGACTCAAGATTCAAGGCTCAGACAAAGTTTTTTTGGGATCTTGAATCTTGAATTATACCCCCTTGGATTCAAGAAGTCCTTTTGGGATCTTGAATCTTGAATCTTGAATTATACCCCCTTGGATTCAAGAAGTCTTTTTGGGATCTTGAATCTTGAATCCGATGTACTTAGGGAAGGGTGGGATGGGAACAAACTTGCAAACATTTGCAATGTTTGATCATCAAAAAATGCCCTCAGTTTTGGAGTTCAAAATGTTAAGAAAAACACTGCTGTAAATACCACTAAATTTGCTTGACAGGTAGGTCTTGGGGGGGTACCATATATATGTATTCCGATCATCGATGACGGGACGCGCAGTCTTCATTCATCTTCATTCAATATGCTTGTGTGAAGAACTATGTTCAGGCTTCCAGCAGGTCATTGGCGAAGTTTGGGAAAGTGAACTCTGCAGATACCTGCCCCCAGCAGGGCAGATAGTCCTGATAGAGAGTGTGCTTGACCTACATATAGCCATCGATGTCCATTTTCCTTCCAATTTCCTGCTAGTTGGTGTTGAGAGATATGCTTTAAAGTTGATATCCAGCAGGACGGATCTAATTTCAAATATCACATTCCTGGGATCAGCTGGTAAACATCCAAGCACTGATCTTCGAGGTTTTATCGCAACGTCCAAGGAGTTGGCGCCATTTCTCTTCGGACCACCTGCGCTGATGTCATTCCTGGGATGCTTGGTGGACTGTTCGTTGCCTCTTGCAGGGCATTGATGGAAACAGATGAGCATTGACGGAACGTGTATAATTCGACTGAATTATCAGAATATCCAAGAGGATTATCGGAATTATTCTGAATTATTGTTAAATTCATTTGCAGGGCATCTTATTCGGCTTCTATAAGCCATGCCATACCTAATCGAGATAGATGTGCCTTGCTGAATGCACATGATCTCCCCCAGGATGTTTCCATCTCTTGGGAGTAGCTGAAGTGGAGAAGGGCTCCATTACACTAGCTGCACTGATTTGCCTAGCCGCTCGCTCAGAAAATAGTTTGCAAAGCGCCGAGCTGTTGTCATTCAACAGGGGAACGAGTTATTGTTCTTGGTGGTTGCAGTGGCGTGTGGGGTTGTTTTTTCTTCTCGTTTGTTTGTTCGTTGGTTGTTTGCTGGCTGTGCTCATTATGATGTTTGCCAGCAGGCCCATCACCGTTCCAATGGCTCAATTCCCTTCCGTTCCAATGGCCTGCAGGCTCTATCCGCCAGCCCCATCACCGTCATGGCCTCTTACCTGTTCCTCATCTGGTGCGTAGCGCCGGCGTTGGCCCTGGCTGTGGCCTCGATCCTGCCATCTGTTGCAGCGGAGCTGCTGATGGTGGGTTCTTACATCCTGCCATGGATGTTATATGTCCAAATGTCTCCTGGTTTCAAGTGGTTGTAGCACAGAAGGGAACTCATTTGGCCATTTGGCTTCCAAACCGGCGAACTCTCCATGTGACATCAGAAAGGCCAAATATCCATTGAACTGCCAGGGCCGATTTGTCACGCAAGTGCGAGGGCCCAAGTTGAACACATCGCCGACAATTACTGGATAGGCTGCAGAGGGGTCAAAGATGCCGAGGAGTTTCTCCAGGATGTGAACTAGATATAACTATAGATGACATTTCCAGGTTTTCAGCTTTTCTATCTATAGGGGGGTTTGGGGGGTTGCTTGCTATGTATTCATTTACATATAGGATATATAATTGTGAAACTTGGCATGCCGTGACTCCCAAGAAGGGGCGCTAAAACATTGGAATCACAATTTCCTTTGAGGATTAAGGGCCTCTAGACTGACACAAACACACACACAGTTTGTATATGTCTGTATGTCATGCAATGCAATGTAATGTACTGTAACGCAATGCAATATAATGTATGTACATATATGTAAATTACAGTTCATATATATATATATATTAGTAATCAGTTGAATATTATGAAGCAATTGTATAATGAATCAATGAAGTATTTAATTCAGTGATTGAGTAATAACACACAGACACACACCGATATATATATATATATGTGAATTATATGCATATGCATCCCCAAACTGTTGTGGTTGCTGTCCCTACTGTGCTCTATCTTTGTGCTGGCTTTGAAAGTTCCATTTTCGCCCTTTGTTGATCTACGCGAATTGTTTGAGATGCTGAGGTTAGTTTTGGGCTTGGATTTTCTGTCGCCTTTGACCTTTCGTAGTGGCACGACCATCCCTGGAGATGTGGTCATTGGTGGCTTCTATGGCCTCATGATGCTGGGATTTTTGAAATTTTGGCCCTGGTGTTTGGCGCATCAGTCAGCTGCAGCAAGACGCAGGTTCTACCTTTTGTGCAGAAAAAAAGACGATTATAAATCAGATTCACCATTCAAAGTTGGAATCCAATCATGTGTTTGCCTACGGCCCGAAAACCGGCCCAGCGTTTTTGCTTTTTCTTGGTTTGTGATATGTTGGGGCCGGGGGGTGGGGAGGGGTAATAACGTTCTGTGTCTTCGTTGTCTTCGACTTACTTCGGTGGAGACACTTCATGTCACGTTGGACACGTTATACTATTTCGTTGGACACGTCTACTGTAATTACTTCGTTGGGCACGTCTTCTGTACTTCGGTGTGCACACTTCATGTTACCTTGGACATGTCTACGGTACTTCGGTGTACACACTTCATGGCACGTTGGACACGTCTACTGTACTTCGTTGCGCACGTCTTCTGTACTTCGGTGTGCACACTTCATGTTACGTTGGACATGTCTACGGTACTTCGGTGTACACACTACATGGCACGTTGGACACGTCTACTGTAATTCGGTATACACACTTCATGGTACATTGGACGCGTCTACTGTACTTCGGTGTACACACTTCATGGCACGTTGGACACGTCTACGGTTCTTCGGTGGGCACACTTCATGTTGCGTTGGGCACGTCTACGCGCTGTGGCGAAACGCAAAACCATCCAAACGTAACGTTTTTTGAGGGTGTTCAACATGCATTTTATTGGTTCCCACTGCATAAAAACATAGGTTTTTGGTAGATCCCAAGAGACTTGCAGTATCAAAGAACACCAAGATGATTGCAGACATGTGGCAAACGTCAGGTTTTCAGCAGAAAAAAAGACTGATCTTAAAGAATGATGAAAACGCTGGGCCGATTTCCGGGCCGTTGGATGTTTCTGCCAACAGCAATGCGGATACAATTGACAATGCAGAACGAACAGTAAAACATGTTTCTCATGCCGGGAAAGTCCCTGGGAAAGTCATCTCAACCGGCATGTCCTGTGGGATCAGGGACTCGGCCAGTTGAGTGGCTGTAGAAGATGTTTACACAATCAACATATCAACATAGGATAACATAGGTACATAATTATCTCTTCGCCGTTTTTTTCATTAAAGGTGTATTTCATGTGTCGTGGTTGCAAGAGTCTGTATGTCCTCCCCACGAACAACCGGTAACCGAAGAACATGGCCTTTGCTTCACCAAGCTCCATGAACACCACTTTTAGTTTTAGATCAAGACTTGGGAGGCAGTCAAAGAAAACACTGCAGATTTTAGATGATTATTTAAGAGGTGTTGGGTCATACCACGACAGTGGAATCTATACCACGACAAGATATAAAAAACCACGACAAGAGGGTAGCACGAGTAGCGCATACCTTGTTCAATTGATGATTTGTTCAAAAATTTGCCACTAATCGCCACTAATCAAACCAAATTTGCCCACTAATCGCCACTAAGCAAACCAAACTTGCCGTGTAGCTATCTCAGCTATAGCTATCTTAGCCCAGTGTAGCCCAAGCTATCTCAGCCCAGTGTAGCCCAAGCTATCTCAGCCCAGTGTAGCCCAAGCTATCTCAGCCCAGTGTAGCCCAAGCTATCTCAGCCCAGTGTAGCCCAAGCTATCTCAGCCCAGTGTAGCCCAAGCTATCTCAGCCCAGTGTAGCCCAAGCTATCTCAGCCCAGTGTAGCCCAAGCTATCTCAGCCCAGTGTAGCCCAAGCTATCTCAGCCCAGTGTAAGCTATCTCAGCCCAGTGTAAGCTATCTCAGCCCAGTGTAAGCTATCTCAGCCCAGTGTAAGCTATCTCAGCCCAGTGTAAGCTATCTCAGCCCAGTGTAGCCCAAGCTATCTCAGCCCAGTGTAGCCCAAGCTATCTCAGCCCAGTGTAGCCCAAGCTATCTCAGCCCAGTGTAAGCTATCTCAGCCCAGTGTAAGCTATCTCAGCCCAGTGTAAGCTATCTCAGCCCAGTGTAGCCCAAGCTATCTCAGCCTGTAGCCCAAGCCCAGTGTAGCCCAAGTGTAGCAAGCTATCTCAGCCTAGCTTAGCCCAAGTCAGCTTCTTACTTAGTCCCAATCCATAAACAATTAGCAAGGCTTTTTCCGCCAATCGAAGGTGGCTGTTGCTTCAAGGTTTCAGCACCCAGACTTCCCCAGTCCCAAATCCGTAAGCCTCCAAATCCGTAAGCCTCCGCCTCCAAATTCGGTAAATCCGTGAGCCTCCTCCTCCAAATTCGGTAAAATTCCGTAAACAATCCGGAAGCCTCCTCCCCACAATCCGGTAAAAATCCGTAAACAATCCGGAAGCCTGCTCCACCAAATTCGGTAAAATTCCGTAAACAATCCGGAAGCCTCCTCCCCACAATCCGGTAAAAATCCGTAAACAATCCGGAAGCCTCCTCCTCAAAATCCGGTTAAAATCCGTAAACAATCCGGAAGTCTTCCTACCCAAGATCCGGTCAAATTCCGTCAGCAATCCGGAAGCCTCCTCCCCAAAATCCGGTGAAAATCCGTAAACAAACCGGAAGCCTCCAAAATCCGGTAAAAATCCGTAAACAATCCGGAAGCCTCCTCCTCAAAATCCGGTTAAAGTCCGTAAACAATCCGGAAGCCTCCTCCCCAAAATCCAGTAAAAACCTGTAAACAATCGGGAAGCCTTTTCCCCAAAATCCGGTAAAAATTCGTAAACAATCCGGAAGCCTCCTCCTCAAAATCGGGTAAAAATCTGTAAACAATCGGGAAGTTTTTTCCCCAAAATCCCGGAAAAATCCGTAAACAATCCGGAAGCCTCCTCCCCAAAATCCGGTAAAAATCCGTAAACAATCCGTAAGCCTCTCCAAATTCGGTAAAATTTCGGAAACAATCCGTAAGCCGCATCCCCCAGATCCGGTCAAAATCCGTAAACAATCCGTAAGCCTGCTCCACCAAATTCGGCAAAATTTCGTAAACAATCCGGAAGCCTCCTCCCCACAATCCGGTAAAAATCCGTAAACAATCCGGAAGCCTCCTCCTCAAAATCCGGTTAAAATCCGCAAACAATCCGGAAGTCTCCCTATCCAAGATGCGGTCAAATTCCGTCAGCAATCCGGAAGCCTCCTCCCCAAAATCCGGTAAAAATCCGTAAACAAACCGGAAGCCTCCTCCCCAAAATCCGGTAAACATCTGTAAACAATCGGGAAGTTTTTTCCCCAAAATCCGGGAAAAATCCGTAAACAATCCGGAAGCCTCCTCCCCAAAATCCGGTAAAAATCCGTAAACAATCCGTAAGCCTCCTCCTCCAAATTCGGTAAAATTTCGGAAACAATCCGTAAGCCTCATCCCCCAGATCAAGGTAAAAATCCGTAAACAATCCGTAAGCCTGCTCCACCAAATTCGGTCAAATTCCGTAAACAATCCGGAAGCCTCCTCCCCACAATCCGGTAAAAATCCGTAAACAATCCGGAAGCCTCCTCCTCAAAATCCGGTTAAAATCCGCAAACAATCCGGAAGTCTCCCTACCCAAGATCCGGTCAAATTCCGTCAGCAATCCGGAAACCTCCTTCCCAAAATCCGGTAAAAATCCAAAAACAATCCGGAAGCCTTCTCTCCAAAATCCGGTAAAAATCCGTCAGCAATCCGGAAGCCTCCTCCCCAAAATCCGGTAAAAATCCGTAAACAAACCGGAAGCCTCCTCCCCAAAATCCGCTAGAAATCCGTAAGCAATCCGTAAGCCTCCTCCTCCAAATTCGGTAAAATTTCGGAAACAATCCGTAAGCCGCATCCCCCAGATCCGGTCAAAATCCGTAAACAATCCGTAAGCCTGCTCCACCAAATTCGGCAAAATTCCGTAAACAATCCGGAAGCCTTCTCTCCACAATCCGCTAAAAATCCGTAAACAATCCGGAAGCCTCCTCCTCAAAATCCGGTTAAAATCCGTAAACAATCCGGAAGCCTCCTCCCCAAAATCCGGTAAAAATCCGTAAACAAACCGGAAGCCTCCTCCCCAAAATCCTAAACAATCCGGCAGCCTCCTCCCCAAAATCCGGTAAAAATCCGTAAGCAATCCGGCAGCCTCCTCCCCAAAATCCTGTAAAAATCCGTAAACAATCCGGAAGCCTCCTCCGCAAAATGCGGTAAAAAACCGTAAACAATCCGGAAGCCTCCTCCCCAAAATCCGGTAAAAATCCGTAAGCAATCCGGCAGCCTCCTCCCCAAAATTCGGTAAAAATCCGTAAACAATCCGGAAGCCTCCTCCCCAAAATCCGGTAAAAACCCGTAAACAATCCGGAAGCCTCCTCCCCAAAATCCGGTACAAATCCGTAAACAATCCGTAAGCGGCTCCAAACCACCAAAGTTTTTACTGATTTGGAGAGAAGTTTCCGATTGTGTACGAATTGTGAACCGGAGTTGGGGAGGAGCTTCCGAATTGGGGGTGGACGGATTTTTAACCGATTTTGGAAGGAGGTTTCCGGATTGTTTACGGATTGTACCGGATTTTTGGGAGGATGCTTCCGAATTGTTTACGGATTTTTACCGGATTTTGGGGAGGAGGCTTCCGGATTGTTTACGGATTTTTACCGGATTTTGGGAAGGAGGCTTCCGGATTGTTTACGGATTTGTACCGGATTTTGGGAAGGAGGCTTCCGGATTGTTTACGGATTTGTACCGGATTTTGGGGAAAAGGCTTCCCGATTGTTTACGGATTTTTTCCGGATTTTGGGGAGAGGGCTTCCGGTTTGTTGACGGAATTTGACCGGATTTTGCGGAGGAGACTTCCGGATTGGATTGTTTACGGTTTTTAACCGGATTTTGAAGAGGAGGCTTCCGGATTGTTTACGGATTTTTACCGGAATTTGGGGAGGAGGCTTCCGGATAGTTTACGGTTTTTAACCGGAATTTGGAGAGAAGGCATCCGGATTGTTTCCGGATTTTTACCGGTTGTTGGGGAGGAGGCTGCCGGATTGTTTACGAATTTTTTCCGGATTTTGGGAAGGAGGCGTCCGGATTGTTTACGGATTTTTACCGGATTTTGGCAAGGAGGCTTCCCGATTGTTTAAGGATTTTTAAACGATTTTGGGGAGGAGGCTTCCGGATGCTTCCGGATTGTGTACGGATTTTTACCGGAGTTTGTGGAAGAGGCTTCCGGATTAAGGCCGGATTTCTACCGGATTTTGGGGAGGAGGCTTACGGATTGTTTACGGATTTGTACCGGATTTTGGGAAGGAGGCTTCCGGATTGTTTACGGATTTGTACCGGATTTTGGGGAGGAGGCTTCCGGATTGTTTACGGATTTTTACCCGATTTTAGGGAAAAGGCTTCCCGATTGTTTACGGTTTTTTACCGGATTTTGGGGAGAGGGCTTCCGGTTTGTTGACGGAATTTGACCGGATTTTGGGGAGGAGGCTGCCGGATTGTTTACGGAGTTTTACCGGATTTTGGGGAGAAGGCTTCCGGTTTGTTTACGGATTTTAACCTGGTTTTGGAGGAGGAGGCTTCCGGATTGTTTACGGATTGTTACCGGATTTTGGGGAGGAGGCTTCCGGATTGTGTACCGATTTTTACCGGATTTTGGGAAGGAGGCTTCCGGATTGAGTCCGGATCTTTACCGGATTTTGAGGAGAAGGCTTACGGATTGTTTACGGATTTGTACCGGATTTTGAGGAGGAGGCTTCCGGATTGTTTACGGATTGTTACCGGATTTTGGGGAGGAGGCTTCCGGATTGTTTACGGTTTTTTACCGCATTTTGCGGAGGAGGCTTCCGGATTGTTTACGGATTTTTTACCAGATTTTGGGGAGGAGGCTTCCGGATTGCTTACGGAATTTTACCGGATTGTGGGGAGGAGGCTGCCGCATTGTTTACGGAATTTTCTGGATTTTGGGGAAGAGGCTTCCGGATTGTTTACGGTTTTTTACCGCATTTTGCGGAGGAGGCTTCCGGATTATTTACGGATTTGTACCGGATTGTGGGGAGAAGGCTTCCGGATTGTTTACGGATTTTTACCGGATTTTGGGGAGGAGGCTTCCTTCCGGATTGTTTACGGATTTTTACCCGATTTTGGGGAGGAGGCTTCCGGAGTGCTTACGGAATTTTACCGGATTGTGGGGAGGAGGCTGCCGCATTGTTTACGGAATTTTCTGGATTTTGGGGAGGAGGCTTCCGGATTGTTTACGGTTTTTTACCGCATTTTGCGGAGGAGGCTTCCGGATTATTTACGGATTTGTACCGGATTGTGGGGAGAAGGCTTCCGGATTGTTTACGGATTTTTACCGGATTTTGGGGAGGAGGCTTCCGGTTTGTTTACGGATTTTTACCGGATTTTGGGGAGGAGGCTTCCGGATTGCTGACGGATTTTTACCGGATTTTGGGGAGGAGGCTTCCGGATTGTTTACGGATTTTTACCGGATTTTGGGAAGGAGGTTTCCGGATTGTTTACGGATTGTACCGGATTTTTGGGAGGATGCTTCCGAATTGTTTACGGATTTTTACCGGATTTTGGGGAGGAGGCTTCCGGATTGTTTACGGTTTTTTACCGGATTTTGGGGAGGAGGCTTCCGGATTGTTTACGGATTTTTACCGGATTTTGGGGAGGAGGCTTCCGGATTGTTTACGGATTTTTACCGGATTTTGGGGAGGAGGCTTCCGGATGGTTTACGGATTTTTACCGGATTTTGGGGAGAAGGCTTCCGGATTGTTTACGATTTTTTACCGGATTTTGGGGAGGAGGCTGCCGCATTGTTTAGGATTTTGGGGAGGAGACTTCCGGATTGTTTACGGATTTTGAAGAGGAGGCTTCCGGATTGTTTACGGATTTTAACCGGATTTTGAGGAGGAGGCTTCCGGATTGTTTACGGTTTTTTACCGGAATTTGGAGAGAAGGCATCCGGATTGTTTCCGGATTTTTACCGGTTGTTTGGGAGGAGGCTGCCGGATTGTTTACGAATTTTTTCCGGATTTTGGGAAGGAGGCGTCCGGATTGTTTACGGATTTTTACCGGATTTTGGCAAGGAGGCTTCCCGATTGTTTAAGGATTTTTAAACGATTTTGGGGAGGAGGCTTCCGGATGCTTCCGGATTGTGTACGGATTTTTACCGGAGTTTGTGGAGGAGGCTTCCGGATTAAGGCCGGATTTCTACCGGATTTTGGGGAGGAGGCTTACGGATTGTTTACGGATTTGTACCGGATTTTGGGGAGGAGGCTTCCGGATTGTTTACGGTTTTTACCGGATTTTGGGGAGGAGGCTTCCGGATTGCTTACGGAATTTTACCGGATTGTGGGGAGGAGGCTGCCGCATTGTTTACGGAATTTTCTGGATTTTGGGGAGGAGGCTTCCGGATTGTTTACGGTTTTTTACCGCATTTTGCGGAGGAGGCTTCCGGATTATTTACGAATTTGTACCGGATTGTGGGGAGAAGGCTTCCGGATTGTTTACGGATTTTTACCGGATTTTGGGGAGGAGGCTTCCGGATGGTTTACGGATTTTTACCGGATTTTGGGGAGGAGGCTTCCGGATGGTTTACGGATTTTTACCGGATTTTGGGGGGGAGGCTTCCGGATTTTTTACGGTTTTTTTACCGGATTTTGGGGAGGAGGCTTCCGGATTGTTTACGGATTTGTACCGGATTTTGGGGAGGACGCTTCCGGATTGTTTACGGATTTGTACCGGATTTTGGGGAGGAGGCTTCCGGATTGTTTACGGATTTGTACCGGATTTTGGGGAAAAGGCTTCCACTGTAAGCTTACGGACTCCTGGGGTTGAAAAGAGTTTTGGTCGGCGCAGGTGAAGAAAATCATCCACCGGAAGAAGATTTGCTGATTTCACTCCATGCTGATGTCCTGAGAATGACAATGAACCTTTTCTTTTCGCATTCAACATTTATATCCATACATTGCTTCTGCTTCTGTTTGTATATTTCGATTTTGTGACCAGTCTGTTCCGCTTTTCTCAACCTCTAGGGTTGATTTCTACTTGACCAAAATGGTCAGCTGGCTAATTGATAGGTGAAACGTAACCATCAAGCAGGATTCAATCACTGATGCCAAACAGATCCATCACAACTGGCAATGGAAAACAATGCGCAACTTCAGACCCGTCTGCGGTAGTCAGCAGTGTTTTCACGTGATGTGGTTTTGGTAATTTTTTATAAATTGGTAAATATGCATATATAGTAAGGTATATATATATATATATATATATTTGTAATTATATATTCTCATAGTAGTTTGTGTTGTTTGTTTTTTTTGGTAATGAAGCATTTCATTGATTAAAACACAATGAAACCAGTTCATTAAGAGTGTGATTGCCGGCTACGCAGACAGTCGATGATGTGTTTGCCAATCGTGCTTAAAATCTTTGGTCCTTGTCGTGGTTCGCAGCCGGGTTTTGTCGTGGTTTGGAAACCTAGTTTTAGTCGTGGTGAAAACGTACTCTCATTATTTAAGCTTCCCCTTGCCACATGATGGGAATCAGTGTGTTTTTGTGTCATCCCAGGACAGCTCTTCTACTGTCCTTATCTGCGCAGTTTGTAGCACAGATTCGTCGGAGAGATGTCATGGTGGTTTCTGCAGCAATCTTCTTTTTGAGCGCCTGAGCAGCCACGCAGCCATGGCATTGGCATGGCGGAGTTTACTCCTGAGAAAATACACGAAAAAGGGGCTATATCTCTCACACACACACATGATCACACATGTAGGTATGTACAGGTATGTATATATATATAAACCCTTCCCCCTAAGACTAAACGACACCCCCACCCTCCCTTTTTTAAAAAACACCTGGAATATTTTTTATTGCTAAGGATTTAAAATCATTTGCTGGATATTCCACCAGTACCACACCTCAGCAACCGAGATCCTTCTGTGCCAGCAAGGTGGCGTACGAGCAGCTCTTTGATTTCGAAGCTTCCCCCTAATGCTTGAATTTAAACACTTATTGTCAAGGACCCGAAGAATAAACCGCCCCCTAGCCAATTAGTATTAATTACTCATTGTATAGATGGTGAAACCATCAAATTGGGCCTTGATTGTTATATAATTTCTTTTCTTAGGGGGAACAAAGAAAATTCAACTTGACCAGTTTGAAATTCGCAAAATTGGGAACGGACCCCAGCTGTTTATGTTCGGGGGTATGTCTAGCCAGAGGAGGAAGGGATTACATCTATATACTTACATCATCTTACATCGGACGCATATATGTGTATAATTTTATACATACCTGCTTGTTTGATCAAGTGCATATTCACACATGTGTTTATGTTCACATAAATGACGCACCTATAAATATATATATATATATTAAATACATACATTTACATGTATGTTACATGTTTTTGCATTAATATAAGTATATTCGATCATATTTGCATATTTGTTGCATGTGTATGTGCACATATGTTTGCACATGCATACTGCACAAGTTGCGTATACAGTATACCTATATATATATATATGTATAACAGTTTCACTATATACAGATGTGTCTGTATGTATGGATGGATGGATGGACGGATGTATGTATGTATGCATGTATGTATGTATGTACGTATGTAACTTTACATTTATTTACCATTTATTTATGTATGCATTTATTTATTTAATTATTTTATTCATTCAATTATTTATTTTATTTCTCCGTTTATTTGTTTTTATTTGTTTATATTATGCATCTTCAATATGTACATATATAGTTGTAAACACACACATATGATGTTGATTATCTTTTCACGTATCAATGCCATAAACGGCCCAATCTTCCCGCTGCAACCCCATCCCTTTCTGGCGCTTCTCTGGCAAAGGTTTGCTATTGGCATTTCAGCTGTTCCCCTACAGCTATGACCGACCAAAGCGTGTCTTCCAGCAACATGTGGCGCGGTCCCAGGCAACCTGGCAACTGCTTCCACAAGGCCGATGTTCGTGGCTGGAACTGACCTTCTTGGCTCAATGATTTGGGAATATGAGGAGGCTCTTTATAAATGGAACATGATGGAACTATAATATATATATATATATTATATATATATTGTATATTTTTTGTTGGTGCAAACTATTGGTTCTCAAAACTTGCTGGAGAGAACACAAAACTATTCATGAATACAACTAGAAATGTCCCTTTGAGCGCGTGTGACCCGTTGGCCATCAGCTGCCAGGCAAAAGTTCTGTCCAATGGGAAGACATGGAGCATGGCTTGTGGACCACAGCCATGGATGCTTGGCCGGGGCTGAGTTGGCCTTGCTGATGTTGAGGTGATGGGAATAGATATCATCAGCTAAACCCAGTTGGTGAATGGGGTCCTTACTCTTGAATTGTTTGGCCTGCGCGAATCACAAATGTTCACAAATTCAAACCTGCTCAGGGCGGTTGAGTATGCTTTTCAGGTCACCCGCACCATATTACTTTTTGTTTGCTTGTCTATTGTTGAATAATTAGGACGTTGCTCTATTCCGTCATTTGGTTTTTATAGCTCATGTTAGCACTATAGTTTTATATAGTTTTATATACCTATCTGTCTATATATTATGTAATTATATAAACCAGTTGGTTTGCTTCTCGTGCCTTTCTTCCAGGTCGCTTTCCCCTGAGCCCTTCCCGCTCGACCAAGAGGGGCCCTAAGGATTGGAACAACGTGGCCACCCTGCGGCATTTCTCACCCTATGGGCTGCCTGCAAGATCGCAGCCACACAACGACTCTGCGGGTATCTATGGGCAGGTGCCGAGGATAAAGTGGAAATAGGAACCATTAAACTTATGGCAACGATGATGATGATGGTGATGATGATGATGATGGTGATGATGATGGTGATGATGATGACGATGATGATGATGATGGTGGTCTTTGTTATGTTGTTACGATGATGGTTCAGGAAATGCGGGATTTCTGAATGAACACCCTGGTGGTGGAGGAGAACATGCAATTTTTTGAAGGACATATAAGGTTGATAAAACAACATGTTTTGTGATTAGTGCCCGGCTTGTTTTCAATTGTAAGCCACACTGTGGTAGGCATCTTCGCCTCCATGAAGCTGTGCAATTTTGGTATTCACAAGGATTCACAAGGCAGGCCACCCAAGATTTGCCAACAGAATTACTGTGAGAGGAACTGTGTTTGGTTGGTTTTTCCCCAAAACAGACCATGGTTCACAATTATTGACCCTCAAACCTGCGAGTCAGAACAATCCAATTTTTGGAGGGTGCCAATGTCGGCACCCAATTTTGACCCATGCCGACACATGAGGTGCCAATGCCTTTCCCCATGAAAGCCTTCTTGGTGGGTGGCTCATGGGCACCCCGTAGCGCACCTGTACTACCTAGTGCCTGGGCAAGCCGCATGTGGTATATGAACGGTTGAAGCGGATGGAGATCCCAATGGAATTAATATACCTCATAGTCTGCCTTCACCATTCATCTTTGTATGTGTGTGGTTGTGTACATTTATATAAGTTATTTTTGTTTTTGTTGTCCGTTATTGTCAATATCCATTGTATTCATGTTGATTCATCATGATTCATCTATCCATGCCATGTATGGCTTTTTGTTGTTCCCTATTCAAAGAACTAAGTCGACTTCCCAACGCCACCGAGTTCCCGAGGCAAGATCTCTTTGGACCTCCACGTCGCGGAGTGGAGTCCGGGGACTCCACAAATGCGGCAACTGCATGTGACGGCCAAAGGTCCGCCACAGATGATGATGGTGCTGTCACCCGCCTCCAAGGTGCTCCGATGGTCCTATGGACGCTATGATGCTGGGCCTAAATGCTGGCATTTGGGTACCTGGGTTCTGCGGTGCAGGGTGAAGAAAGAACCAGGTGACCAGTAGTGTGGGGGCTAAACAATAGTGAGAAGTCCATCCGCTTCAAAAAAAAAGGTTCATTTTCTTGATTAAATACATGGAACACCCCGTACCAGCAATATTGGAAAGCTGGGGGTTCATTAATCCAGATGTTTGGAACCCATTGACGACCAAGCTGTTGGCCATAGCTGAGGAGCGCAGCTCGGATGTAGCAGAGAGCAAGCACAGCAACGACCCCAACTTGTTGCCACGTGGGCGTCTGGTCAACCAAAGCTGGACTGGTTTATTATTCTTTTAATATTACCTAAAATACGTAGCCGGGTACTGCTCAGGTCTGTTCAGGGTAGTTGAAACATGTTGAAACCACCAACAGCAGAGCTGGAATAATCCTTGAGGTTGGGATCCGTGGTGGAAAAGAGACTATCTTGCATAGACTTCACGAGCCCATATATGAGATCATCATCAGGATATAATATGGTCACTACCAACGCGCAATCACAAATGATCAAGTTCATGTGCCCATGTTGGAGTCAGGGTTCTGCAACTGTGCGAATGCACAGTCTTCACCGCCTGGGTCGCGTAGAAGGTTTTCCAAACGGTAACTTGGAAACCATTGAAGGCTCCCGAGACCACGAAGTGATTGCGATTGCTTCTTTTTGCAGCTTGTCTCTCACAGTGGGATGTTGTCGTGCCTTCATGATCTTCATGTGGGTCACATTGACATAGGGCATGTTAACGTATGTTAACGGCATGTGATCAATTTTGTAGAGGCTAGGGTTGTGGGAGGGGTCCCTGTTGATGTTGCCGTGATTTGCTTCTTTGGAGGTTTTGGTCATATGTTTGTCTTGTGTTGTTGCTGCGTTCGGTTTTCAAGTTGGGGCTGTCACATGCCGACAAGTGCAAAGATCTATGCGGCACCTCGAAAGTCAAAGGCGGAACCATGCTAAGTGATTTCAACCGCAATATCTGGAATTACATAGCTCTGGCTCAAATTGCTGGCTCCAGACTCCAGAGTGGTCAGATTCGAAAACAGAACCCCTATTGTTTGGGCATGTTTGGACCCTATAGCTGAGCTCCATGCTATCGCCGAGGCTGTTTGCGGAGGGCGGTTCTCGGCCTAGTTATGGACGGGCTGAAGCCTTCAATTTCACCGCGCTGGTCCCAGCTGGTGAGCGCCTGGGCATGGATCAAGAATGGTGGTCTGAAAATCAAGTTACCCCTTCGGTAATTAGTCAAACATGGATGATGATTGATACAGATGGATGGGATATGAGGGGTTTATCATTGTTATGTTTGATTCTCCGACGGTATGTCAAGTTCATTCCCAGATCATGGGTCAATTCTGAGGATGCATTTGGATATTTGGGCCTTGCATCTGGAGAGCACAAGCCCAGAGCTCGAATATGAAGAAGGACGCAACCCAAGTTGGATCAGCTACATGGGATGGGTCTCAGAGTTGCAGGTACGCAGGGCGTACGCAGGGCTTGAGTCTTGGGTCAGGTCGCTGCAAAAAGCTTGCTGCAGGAAAAAAATGAGACATCTCAGAACTGGATGCAGGGACATTTCCCGTAAACCAACCCATTCATGATAGTATCTGATAGTATGCCAACCGGAGCTTGAGTTTCTCGCAACTTCACCACACGAAGGCTAGCCTTCTCATTTCTATCATTTCCAGGATTTTCCGTCATTTATTTGGTGCTGGAGTTTTGGTTGTGGTTGCGTTCCTGTGCCCTAGGGTCACCTGGATGGGACGAAATCCAAGATCAAGAATTTGACAGATGTCTGGGTTTCGCGCTAGCACTGTACAGTACATAGTATAATTTATAATATTTTATAATGCATCATTAGTACGCCATATTATGTTGTGGGTTGGCACGTCCATATACAAATCACGTAAATTCCGTCTTGTGTAAACCAACCAAACAGCCTCGCCACCTCATATGCGGCAGGCTCACAAGATCATTCTCTGAGAAGCTCGCTTAGCATCTTGTAGCATCTTTTAGCTATCAAGAGCTGCGGAGCTGCCACCTCAGTTGGCCAGTTCCAAAGGATGTTTGTGGCTTTGTGACCCAACTTATCTGCTTGTCATTGCTTATCTACTAAGTTCTAAGAAGGTCGGCAATTTTGTTTTCATAAACCCAATGATATAATTCAATCATTCACTTAATAACAGCAATTTGTCCATAACTTTCTGGTTCAAGAGCTTGTTGGTTATGGACTTGGCTGCCAGTAATTTGGCTCTGGCGCGACAAGTGCGCCTGGTCAGTGCAGGCGAGAAAATGTAGTGCTGAGCGGATCCTGAGGGGAGAAATCCTGCAGCGGTTGGGACCCAAGGATTCATTCCTTAATCAACTTAACGCGTTGAATTTCAACTTATTGGCATTGATTAAGGATGATTAAGATCAATCCACCCTTTGAAAATCGTTTAGGACCGCTTTTTCAAATTTCTAGAAACCCCGTTGTGGCTTGGTCCTGCTATTTTTTATGCGTGGTTGGTTGCCACAGGTTTGCCAGAAGGCATTGACTATGATTTTGATGATGTATTACTCCTTGGTAGCCAAATGGTAGAACTTCAGTTTGAAGCGTCTTGGAAATTAGACCGCGTATGAACTTGCAGGTTCCGCTGCGATCTGTCATTGAGTGGCCATTTGTCGTTGGGTGGCCTGGATGGGCCTGGGTGGGCCTGGGTGGAACCGCCATGTTTAGCTTTGTCTTACATATTATCGATGGTGTTTCCAAGTGAAACTGGGGAGATTCCAATCCCTGAATGTGAGTTGCCCAAAGGGCAGAGCATAGGCCGGATAGCGATCGTGGGGACGAATCTTATGTTCATTTTTTAATTAAAATTGATTATATAAATTTAAAGTTACCCGGTCAGGTTCAACTCTTTTGCCTCATTAGCGGGCATCTTGCAATGGCAGAGGCACACGAGATTTGTGCAACGAACTGGGCCCAATAATTGAGTTGAAGAACATGTAAAATATGTAAATGTCAACAATTTGCTGGCATGTTCTCCGCAGCACTGCACATTGGGAACGCGTCGCAGTATATCCGTGTTGTCTTTTGGCAGCCCCGGTCCACCAGGTCAGATGTTGAGCCAGAGGGCGTTCAGGCTAGGGGTGAGAAGATCGAAGAGTATAGATAGATAAGATAAGGTTGGATTAGATTAGATTGGATTGGATTAGATTGGATTAGATAGATAGATAGATAGATAGACAGATACACAGATACACAGATACACAGATAGACAGATACACAGATAGACAGATACACAGATACACGGATAGACACAGATACACAGATAGACACAGACACAGACACAGACACAGACACAGATAGATAGAAAGATAGATAGATAGATATTATACATATAATATAATATAATATATATATATATATTGATAATTCAATATACATGTATATTTTCATTTTTTTTTTTGCGCATAGAAAAATTGGTCGATAGAAGATGTGTATCTATCTATGTTTTGTGACTAAGGTCCCCCCGCAAATGCACACATGTGTATAAATTTAACTTGAAATGGCGACATGCATGTTCAAGTGTTAGCATTTGCTCTGTAGCATCTGATTTTACAGTACATTTACTTGACTGGCTGGTGGTTTTTTAATGACTGGTTTATTTTGGAACGGGTTGAACGCACCAATCAGTTAACACCCAAAATTGGTCTGAGGGACAATTTTGCAGCAAACTCCTTGATTTGGCTTGTACATCATTGTACATCCAATGAATCCATGATTTCCCCTTAAACCAAGCCATTCATTGAGGGTGTGACATGGTGAACATGTCCATCCCTCATCCGACAGTTTCACCATGTTTCACCTGTGCAGGTGCTTCGTGCCTTTGTTGCTGGAAGCCTTTGCCTTCGACCGTGGCTGGGGCATCCCTGGGTCGCTGGGTGCTGGGTGTGGGTCAAAGACTCCAATGGACCGACGCATTTGTTTATTTCTGTTTAAGTAGCCATAAATTTGTGGCAATTTGAGAGAAGTGAGAAGATCATGAGAAGCCATGGCGCTTTGGGGGTAGCCTATTTTCCGAGAAGTCCACGTGATTGAAAAATATGGCATTGAGTCTATTTACTGTATGCATATGCACACACACATACATATATATACATATGTATACACATATGCACACACACATATATATATGTATAGATGTGCTGTAATTTAAATCCAGCCATTCAAACAACCAGCAAAAGCATTAAATGGTCTCTTCGTCGTTTCTTGCGGATCAAGGTGGTAAACCCCTCACCTGGAGCATTGGCAATTCAAGTTCTTGTCACTCATTTTTGTTGTTTTGGTAGTACGTTTCAGCCTCAGGTCCCAAAAAAGTCTCAGGACTTTCAAGCCAGGATAGAAACAAGATGGAACAACAAATCGCGAAAAACTAAAGCCCTGCATATCTTGAAACGCTTGCCAGCTTCACGCTTATGCCCATGGTCCATCTCTTGCTCGGCATACTTCTTTTGAGATGCGACGTGCTGGCAGCGTCGCATTTTGCTGACAGCGTGGGAGTAGACACCGCAGAGTTCCCCCAGGACATGCCGTTTTGATCCATTTTCGATCTGTTTCAAGTCAAAATATGCTTTGACCATCCTGCACCATTTAGAATATTAGCAGGAGAGGGTTGGTGCAACATGCATCAACAAGGTACAACCACCAAAGTGGGTTGATCAGTGGCTCAGTGTATAGCTCGTTTCTTTGGGACACCTGTCAAGTGTGTCCGGTGCTCTAAGCGATCCCTTAACCTCAGTGCTCTAAGTGATCCGGTGCTTTAAGTGATCCCTCAACCTCAAGTGTGACCATTTGCCCGTGTTGTTAGGGCACAATGTTGGAATCTACCAAGAGGACTCCATAAAAGTAGCCAAAAAGATCGGTCAGAATACTACAGTAAGATTCTGATTGTATATTTATTTATTTATTATTTATTTATTTATTTATTTATTTATTTATATAGAGATGTGTGTGTGTGTGTGCGTCTGTGTGTAGATATGTATACTTACAGCTAATTACGTTTTTTGGGGGATTTACGGAATGTCCAAATGGGCCAGTTGAGCAGTTGAGCAAGTCCCAGATCCTCCCGGATCCTCAGACCTCAACAGCTCAGCACACAGAGGAGGTTTCCAACTCACTTTTGCAACATGTGGCGGCTCGCAAGCCTTCTGCGTTTTCATCGGAGCCTACCCAGCTTCTGAAGGCCGAGAATTGGGAGAAGCGTACTCATACCTAAAGGAAAGGAGGATGCATTCAGAAAGACGCAATAAGACGCATATCCAAACCAGGATTAAAACCTGTGAAAACGGAGCCATTCCATGGAGAAATTAGAAGTGTTTTATAAAACCTACAAATGCTGCAAGGTTTCTTTGGGGGCAAAGTCCAACTGAAAGCAACCCCTTTCGGACGGAGGATCTTTTTTCCCCACCTGCCAGGTGAGGGTTGTTAGATTTTATGTCAGTTGCCTCCTCCTGCCTCCTCCTGCCTCCTGCCTCGTCCTCCTCCTCCTCTCCTCCTCGTCCTCCTCGTCCTCCTTGTCATCCTTGTCGTCCTTGTCGTCCTCGTCGTCCTCGTCGTCCTCGTCGTCCTCAACTGCGACCCGCGATCCACAGTGTTCTCTGCCGGACCTCAACCACGACCATCCACGCCCAGTGTTCCCTGCCGGACCTCAACCACGACCATCCACGCCCAGTGTTCCCTGCCGGACCTCAACCGCGAGTATCCACGCCAAGTGTTCCCTGCCGGACCTCATGCCAAATAGAATGCCAAATAGAATGCCAAATAGAATGCCAGATAGAATGCCAGAAGATATGTCAGAATATATGCCAGAAGATATGCCAGATAGAATGCCAGATAGAATGCCAGAAGATTTGCCAGATAGAATGCCAGAAAATATGCCAGAAGATATGCCAGATAGATATGTCAGAGGATATGCCAGAAGATATGCCAGAAGATATGCCAGAAGATTGGCCAGATAGAATGCTAGATAATATGCCAGAAGTATGCAGATAGAATGCCAGAAGATTTGCAAGATAGAATGCCAGAAGATATGCCAGATAGATATGCCAGAAAATATGCCAAGACGTCTGCCCGACGATATGCCAAAGGATATGCCAGAAAGAATGTCAGAAAGAATGTCAGAAGATATGCCAGAAGATATGCCAGATAGAATGCCAAATAGAATGCCAGATAGAATGCCAGATAGAATGCCAGAAGATTTGCCAGATAGAATGCCAGAAAATATGCAAGAAGATATGCCAGATAGATATGCCAGAAGATATGCCAGAAGATATGCCAGATAGAATGCCAGAAGATATGTCAGATAGAATGCCAGAAGATATGTCAGATAGATGCCAGAAGATATGCCAGATAGAATGCCAGAAGATTTGCCAGATGAATGCCAGAAGATATGCCAGAAGATATGCCAGATCATATGCCAGAAGATATGCCAGATAGAATGCCAAATAGAATGTCAGAAGATATGTCAGATAGAATGCCAGAAGATTTGCCAGCAAGAAAATGTATAAATGTCATGGTGGGGATCACACGAAGTAAAGTAATTTTTAGCCCTCTGGCGGTATCGAATCTTTGAGGGCCAGGGCCCACTGCACCATTGTCAGGAAGCAGCTCCCTTGAAATTTATGCACACACCCAAGTGCCTCGGCTGTGGACCTGTGATTCCACGAAATTGCATTTTTTCTCACTGGACAATCAGACTCCAGAGCCGCACAGCAACATATTGAATCACATATTGGGTTATTAGATGTCATTAGAATTCATTAGACGTTATTGGCTATTTCTCTCAGGTGCGGCTCATCTTTCTCCAATGTCATTGCCACTTAGCTGCAGGTTTGGCTCCATGCAGCCTAAGTCGTGATGGTGACAGCAGCAGCATTTGGCTTTATCATGTCAGCGGGAAATCCCCTATAGATGATTACAAAATATTACAAATGGAGGTCTTAATGCGAAAACCATGATCAATAACTTTAGGCCTTAGGCTTTCACGTTTTTTTCATTCGATCATACTGTGCCATATCAGGCTCAAAACATCTCAAAATCATTGGCCAATGTGGGTGCCGAGGCGCACACCCCTGGCGTGTGCCCTGCTGTGCCATCCACTTTAGCCTTGGACTTCGATAACTTTGGTCAGTTTTTTGATGTCGAGCCACTTGATGCAGGGCCTGTAGGGTGGGTTCGAGAAAGCCTGACAGATTCCAAGAAGGTATGATTCCTTCCATATGATTCCCATGTGCTTTGCATGCACCCCTCTCGCCCCTCCCTCCTCAAAAAACAAGTATTCACTGTGTATGTAAATATGTATATATATAAATGTGTGTGTGTGACGTCATATATCCCTCCCTGCATTTATTTATTGTATGTATATATTTATATTTGTTGTATGTGTATATTATGAATATGTATATATATATATACCTATTATGTTTTGGATGTTTGCGATGCATGTTTTTTCCATGCAGCTCTAGCCCTTCTTAGTTTCAGGCATTATCCCAGTCCTAGTCATGGCAGCAGCCCGTTGAGGTTTTGGATCCTTTGCCCTGAGATTTGCAACACAAAGATGCTTTCCTGTGACTGGGAAGATGCAGGATCTGACTTTGCCTTCAATGGCTGTTTTTTACCCATGGTTCCTCATATAGTTGGTGTGCAATGATTTACCGCCAAGATACGGCCTTCAAATGACACTAAATCGTGGGGAAAATGATGGTAAACCATGAGATTCTTGGCTGGATTTGATTTCAGACATAACCCGCATGCTTCTAGTAGTTTCCATTCTGACTTGGGATGATGATCCGCAAAAGACTTTAGCGGCCAGCAGTCATAGCCCCTCCTCATAGTTGAAGCCATTGTTGCATCAGATTCAACCACTCTCAACCATTGCTGCCACCATTTCGCTTTGATTTCCTTCAGTATGTAGTGGCAGCCTGTGGGGGCGAGGTCGCGGCGAGGTATCGTCAATCGCGTCATCCAATCATGCACCCAGGTAATCCGCCCATGTATAAACACGAACTTTTCGGAGAAGATTTGATCAATCCGTACCGTGGGCATCTGGTGACCATGGTCCGTCACTTGTCAAACCAACCTGAGATGAAATGAATGTGGGGTTTGTTGGCAATACATTTGCAAGGTGATGCAAGGTGTAATTAAGTACCTGGCAAGATCTATGAAACATACTTGGCTTGCAGCATGTTTGCGCGTTTCCAAGTGCACAATTGGACAGAATTTTGGCACGTGCTGGTTGGACTTGTTACTCTTGCCCTTACATTTTCTGCCAGCGTTATGCAGCCTCCAGTCTGAGGAGACCCAGTGCAGCGAATTGCGGCTTCATACAATGATCCCGTCTTTGATCTTTGGCAGCCCATGATGATGGCCTTTGGATGGCCAGTGCAAAACCCTTTGTCGTGCATGAGGCATCAACCGTTTTTCCCAAAAGAAGTATAAAGCATTGCTGAACCTAGTTTCCGCACTGGAGTGAGAGAGATAAAGAGAGATAGATAGAGAGAGAGAGAGAGTTTCTGCACTTGGCACAATGGCCATATGAGATTCGTTCCAGGACGAGCAGGCCACCAATAGAATTCAATCGCACCACTTGGATCTGGGTGCCCCATGGCATCACTAAGGATTTCGTCAATGATGTGACCCTTGGATTTGCAACGAGGCAGTGCATGTGTTGGAAACAAAGATCCAACCGTTTTTGTCCGGTCTAAGCTTGACAGAGGATGACTGTTGAACCCTGGGTTGTTTCAATCCAAGGACATTTCATTTGAAACGGAAGGGATGCTTAATCCCTTCTGAAGAACTCCCCCTCAATTTTGTCTTTATGATTGTAGAAATTTGTTTTCATATGCGCAACACTTAACCTTAACAAATGTCCTGTACCATCTAGTCGACTATGCAACTGTGATCATGTTCCACAGTGTAACTTTTTTTTGGGTGAGCATATTGCTTAGAACCTGCATTTGCAGACACCATGCACGCATATATATATATATGTAATATATATATATGTAATATATATATATATATATGTATGTAATATATATATATGTTATATATATATATATATGTAATATATATATATATATGGATTATATATGTAATATATATATATGTAATATATATATATGGATTATATATGTAATATATATATATATGTAATATATATATATGTATGTAATATATATATATGTAATGTATGTAATATATATATATATATATGGATTATATATGTAATATATATATATATGTAATAGATATATATATATATATATGTGTAATCTTTTTACATATGCAATATATATATGCAATATATATTTATATATGTAATATATATGTATTATATATGTAATATATATATATATGTAATATATATATATATATGTATAATATGTATGTAATATATATATAATATGAAATATATGTAATATATATGTAATATATATGTAATATAGATGTAATACATATGTAATATATATGTAATATATATATATATGTAATATATATATATATATATATGTATATGTAATATATATATGTAATATATATATATGTAATATATATGTAATATATTTATATGCAATATATGTATATATACATGTACACATAAGATGTACATGCAAGTAACATACATATATTTAATTATATATATAATTATAATTATATATATTTATATTAAATATGCATTAATCATTTGCAATTAAACATTGAGCTCCTTGGTCATGGCACGGATCGATGCGATGATTGGATGCGTCGGTTGCTGAGGAGTGAACCAGGGACCCGCTATCGAAAGACGGATAGCTCCGGAAATCCCTTGCCTCACACTATTGCATTTGATGAGCTACTTGAATCGCCATTGGAGATGCTGGAGGCGTTTTTGGTTGTCCAACATTTCATCATATTTCATCCAACATGATTTTGATTAAACTATATGCGTATGCTTCTTTAATCTTCCATGTGTAATCATATGTAGTCATGTGTAAATATACAATGATGCAAACACATGCATGTGCATGCATGCATACATATGCGGACAGTGTTGAAAAACATGTCCAGCCGCGTTGAAACCTCCATGCAGCATGCTGCATGGCCGTGAGGTTTTTGATGCCTTGCATTCATGTTTTCATTGAACTATTTTGAAACCCAAAAGATCCAAAAGAAAGAGACGCATGTCACCATCAAATTTGAAGGACTGCAACATGGATTTTGGATATACATATCATATCAACACTTTTCTATCACCATCATATCTCAAACATTGTAGATCAACGTTGTTTTTGGGTTCATCCGCCTGGTTTGCTTGTGAAAAGCGCTCAGGTTTGCAACCAACTGGACGGGCATGGTGACCACACAGCTGACCCGAACAGGCCATTGGAGCACTGCTGGTTTCATCGTTGGTGTCATAGTTTTTTTGTTTTTTAATATGTTAGCAACCTAACAATACTGGGGATGCCGGGTTTATTTTGATTATTTATTTTATATTTGGATGATTTTGTGATACCCAGAACGCGTCGTCCAGGTGTCTTTCACGGGGATTTTCCCCGGGGCCCCCCACAGGGCTCTCCACAGGGCCCCATAGGTTGCAGTTCTGCATGTGCTGTTGTGGCTGTCAGATTGGACAGTCTCTTGGAGTGGACTCTATTTGAGCGACAAGGATGCGCAGGAAGCGATTCGCAGGCTGCAGAAGGACTGATCAGAATGGGTCGACATCTTATCGAATCGCATTATCGCATTAGCCAATTTAGTGCCATTGGGTGATGCCATAGTGGTGCAAACCTGGGGGCACTCATGCCCACCTGGGATTAACAAACAACCTATATACCTATACCAAGGTTTATATAGTCATCTTGGCGATTCGCTCAAAAGGTTTGTCGCTTTGATTCCATATCCATCTGAAGAAACGCCTGGATTGGATTTGCAGACATGTATGACTCTTTTGGTAGACACTGCCTGCTTGGAGTGGTGGCCTGTGGCAGGCATCCCTGTGTTTAATAGATGTTGATGTTCAGTCTCAGAAAGGTGTGAGCTGGATCGACCTTGGACGTGCACTTCAGGACATACTAACTAATCTGTTGATATCTTTTCCATCTGTTTCCATAAATTCAGATAAAGTTCGGATGTATCATGATCAACCTGAGCCGCCTTTACAAAAGACATGCTGAATCCTGTGATGTCGAAAGTTAACCTGCAAGCTGTGGCAGGACTTTGTGTTTGTGGGCATTGTTGAGCAATGGGAGCTTTCAATGTGAACCCTGTCTCAAGTCGGGCTGCGCTAAGGGCAGCAGTTTTCTGTAGAACCTGGCATTTCCTGGCAGCTTCAAAAGTGCTAGAATCATTTGGCAAACCAAATGTTTGCCTGTAAGACACATCCTGATGACCTGGCTTGGTTGTTTGAATTTTATTTTGCATCCCTACTTGGGATGATGATCCCGGTTGAATAGTAACTAGTAGAGGTTCAACAGCCAATCATCATCATGCCCTTCTTGTTCCCCTCATTATAACGACAATGCCTTTCATCCATTGCTGCTCTGGACATCGCGGGATGATTGCAAATCACGGATAATGCCACTTTCCTGATCTGAATCGAAATGCACCAGCTTTTAATGCTTGTTGGATCTTGTTGTTCCAAGATTCTTAGATGCGTTTTTTTGCCTCTTTGTCACTGTATCCCCGTGACATCAGTGTGATTCCCCAATTTTGAGGACTTCTGAGGTTGAACATATCAACCTGCCATTGCGAGGCTTATTCCGCACCATGTTTGGTGGCAACTGCTTCCAAAACGACTTCATGGACACACGCCCAGGCTCCATAAGATGGGTCGTGGGTAGCTTGTGTTTTTTTGAGTATGGATGATAGATATGAACAGGTATGATAAAATATGATAGCTGATGATCATTTGTACTACCCAAACCTCATATGCCGATGTGTTTGGCCGGTGGGTCCACGGATGCCAGGATTCAAGGGCCGAAGTGGAGAGAACAAATATGACACCGGCAACTTCCACGATCCGATTGATGGAGTTCTTTGGCATGGGTGATTTTTTTGGAAAAAAAAGGGCCCAATGTGGACGGGACCCAGCACGAAGTGCAGGACTGGTCACTGGTCGGTGTTAACAGTGTGTGTTTTTTTTTTTGGAAATCGGTGTATGTAGTAATAACCCCCGAAAGTTGGCATATGGCATATGGGGCAACTAGAACTGTGGTTAAGTTATAAACCCACTGATAACTGGAACTGCACCCCCAGGGATGCCGTATGAATGGGTGAATGAACATCTTCCTCCAAGATCTCCAAGCATCTCCAAACTATTTAAGGAGTGAACAGGTTCGCGTACCGTGGTGAACTGACCCATATAGCCATGATGTATCCATGATGTTTTAGCTGGCAATCTAGGGTTGAACAATTGATTTGGAGGTTGGATATGCTTAAATAAAGGCGCCAACCACCTGCAGGTTTCCATGCAAGCCGACCTCCAACACATGGGCCCTAGCACACTTGAAGTGTCCAGGGGCAGAGGGCTCATATCGCGCTGGATAAAGTTATATCCATTATTGTCTATTCAGAGAGAGAGAGAGAGATAGATAGAGAGATAGATAGATAGATAGATAAATAGATAGATAGATAGATAGATAAAGAGAGAGAGAGAGATCGAGACACTAGAGTTGATCTGACATCCCTTCGTTTGGGGAATGGCTTCTGAAATTGTGTGTGCCAGAGCGCGCGCGCGTGCCGTTGTGTGTGTGTGAACTGTCTGAAGAGATGTAAAACTTCTAACCTGTTTGATTTCCAGGCTTCTCGGTTTGACCTTCTATCTTTTTCATTGCAATTGGCAGGGGGCAGGAGCGTCATGGTAAGTCTCCTGCCACCGAAGACACTTACCATCGACGGTGATACCAGACTGGCCAACCAGTCTGGCGTACCTGCACTGTTGTGATCACCTGTTGTTCAGGGTTTGCTTCCTTTCAAATTTTGTTATTTTGCAATCAGTGCGTGTGACTGGCAAGGGGGCTAAGCCGAGAACCCTCAATGGACAATTTCTTTTCATTTCAATTTTCCATTTCTGTTTGAATCGGGTGGGTTGTTGGCGCAACTCAAAACGATGATGCAACTCCACTGGCTATGGCAATGGTAGATCCTTGATACTTTGTCGGGTCTCTTCACTGACCCGACCCTGTCAGGTGTAATGGAAGTGGTTTTGCACGTAAGATGCTTCCCATAATGAAATTCGCAATGACAATTCTGAGTAAGTGTGTGTGTGTGTGCGTGTTCCCAAAATTCGGGCCTCCAAATCTACAATGTCATCGTGAGTGACATTGACATTGCAGCAGGAAAACTTATCAGTCAGGGGTTCCTTAACATGGCTGGCCAGGTGGTTGCCTTGTACCTTGCTCCAAGGTAGTGTACCATGCAGCCCTGGAAATCTTCGAATCCAATTTGTTGAAGTACAACGTCACCGAGACCAACTGCCAGCCTTGCTACAAAGCCGCAGGGCTCAGCAGCTCGGCAGAAGGTTGTACCATGTTGTTGAGGGCCCCTGTTTACCCACATCAACATGGTTCACCCTGTCGCCTCGGTATATTCCATCGACATGTACTACATGTTTCCATTGTTTTTGGGGGTTCCCCGATTTTTGTAGAACTTATGCCAGCTAGGTTTGGGGTTCACAATGCTTGAGAATCTTGAGCAATGGGGGGCACCCCGGCTAGCCAAGCCATTGTGGCCGAATCCCAAACTACCACCAATCTTGGTTGATGTCCTGAGGTTGATGAAGAAACGCACCAGGGAAAAAAAAGGACCAAGCCCGCGGTCATGGCATTCCGGGTGCGCGCACAAGTGAACGTTGGATCATGTTGGATCAGAGGTTTGGCAATTCGGGTCTCTCGGATTATCACAGCCATACCGGCCACAGCCGTCCACTATACAAAGTGACGGAACGATGAACAATGCGAACGAGATGCTGTAAGTCCTTGTACGTATACTATAATTACTATATGATATATAATGATTGGTTTATCGTGGTTTATCGGAGGTAGCCATGATTCCCGCGCGCAGTTGCCCGACATCAGAGAGTTTCTGAGGTTTCACGCCAGTAACAAGACTGCTGTGGTGGAGTTCTATCATGCCGCCAAGGCTCGGGAAGTTTGATCATTTTGATCGCCGACTCCTTTGGGAACATGTGGAATGATAACTTGATATAACTTGTAATTGTAGAACCCATTTTCCAAGGTTTCCAACCCTGGTTGGCAGGTCCAATAAAACATGGATCAGCTCTGCTAGCTTCGTAGAAGCAATCGCTGCAGGCATGGTTCCTGCAGGGACAGGATGACAAGGCACGAGAGACCTGTGTGGGAACACAGGCTCCTCCAAAGTGCGCATCCGTTCATGCAGGAGGTGTCTAATCTAACACGAGATTCGTGGCGAAATGACCTTGTTTGAGGCATGGACAGATTGAAAGTCTACGTTGCTTGATGTGTGTAATTAATTGAACTATTGGGTATTCTATCACTCTGGGCTTGCCACCTGTCAAAATGTTTGCCTTCTGCCAAGGTGAGAAAGCCCTGAAACTTGGTGATGAGCTGGCGAGCCTAGCGATTTTGGGCAAGTGGTTCAAAAGATTCGATGTGTGCCAGAACAACCATTTTGATGTTTTTGATGTGTTTGATGGCAACTGCGACTGCGATTTTTCCAAATATAAGTCAATTTGATAAGTAACCATATGTCGGAGCAGATGTTGCTTATTTGTGATATCCGAATATCGAATTCAGGTCGTTCTTGAGAACAGGTTTTTTTACCGGATGGCTTTGGCCTGCCCTCCATCATCGATCACCGCCCAGGCTCAGACCCCTGCCCGTGGAGATGGGAGATGCTCTCCACTTACTCGGGGTGCCAGTGGGCTTCTTCCGTGTGTGGAGATGCCGGCGATTGAAACGTACTGTTTGAATCTGTTTTAGGCAATGATCGGTTTGCAAATCACCTTTTGAGCTGTAAAGAGAGGTTTCTGTATGGTTCTGTTGTAGTCATATAGTTATACTATAATATATCCTACTCACACTTACCGTGACTCGATTTTGATCCTGTCGGGTAGCCAGGATTAGCCCCGCAACATTTATCCTCGGGTAGTGTCCAAGCTGGCAACGGAAAATTCACTAAAATTCACAACAAACACAAACACAACATCATGACATCTACGATTCCTACAGTTTTACATACATTCCGCACGGCTCCGGACGTTTGCCGGGGTCCATGCTGAGATGAAGGGATGTTCGGTAAATCCTAGGTATTGTAATATTTTTTTTGGGATATGTTTATCTTGGGCGAACATCTGGATTTGCGGGATGCATTCGTACATTTTTACAGGCACACACAGAGACACATATACAGTTCATATACACATACACGCACACATATGTATATGATTGTGTATGTGTGTGTGTGCGTCGCATCAAGGTTTTCAACTGGTGGCCCAAGAACACTTTGGGGCCTCCAACCGGGCGAGCTAGTGGCAGGCCATTCATTTGCGGCAGAAATCCTTGCCGCTGGCAATCAAGTGCTTGGTAACTCAGTTGCTTAGTGCAGGAGCGTGAAATTCAAGAATTCGGCCAGGAGCATAGGAAGGTGGGGGAAGAGTGTGATTCCTGCTTGATGATTGGTTTGACAGGCCCATTCTTTGAGGTGATGGGAACCCAACCCCCCTTCAATGAATCGATTGAAGCTTGAATACTATCACAAGCGTCACTAAGCCACTAAGCAAAAAACAATGTGGTCCAAGGTTGCCCTATGGAGACACTCCGTTCTCAAAATGTCTCAAGCATCCGCAAGGTTTTGAACGGGCGCTGGTGATTAAGAAGGTCTTCGGAAATGAAGAGGACCGCCAAGCAAACTGTAAAAGAAAGCCGGATGCCAGGAAACATTTGCCAAGACTGCCCAGGAGTTCCATCATGTTTATATACTAATGTTCAATCTACTCGGTCATTGGTGTGCGATCCCGTGTGTCTATAATCTGAGATTGATGTGTTCGCGTTCATGCCACGTTTTGTTTTCCAGAGCCTGGTTGGCAGTTGGGGTAGTATCTGCCAGGTGTATATAATCTTGCATGCCCCCTTTGAGATCATGATTAAATGTCAATGAGTCATTATGTACACCTCATACAGCAATATTGTGCGCGCACACACGCACACACGTACACACACGCACACACATATATGGTCCAGCGTTCCAACTCCCCCCCTGGCCATGGTCATGGGTCAGCCATAGTACTGTCCCCTCCCCCACTAGAGTACAGAACACTACAGTACACTGCAATGCAGTACACTAGAATACACTACACTAATTACACCACACCACAACTACAACTACAACTGCAACTGCAACTACACCACGCTTATTACACATTACGGCTACAACTCCACTACACCACACTACAACTACAACTGCACTACGCCACACTTCATCCAGCTGTTGTGGGTGAGGTGACCACTACAACCATTCATTGCAACCACTCGAAAAAACACAACTTCAACCACCTTTCGGTCCATCAGTGGATTCGCTCTGCCATCAGTGATTCACAACAACCAACCTCTCCTATAGGTTTACTATTTTTGAAACTTCCGCCACCGCCTTGTGCAGTACTACTGGTGTGTATATATATAATATATATAATGTATAATATATATATAGGAAGTAGATACATAGCACATGTATATATGACTATAGGTAGCACGTAGGTACTTTGAGGGAGTATGTGTGCTACGTAGGTCGTCTAAAAGGTCGTATGTACCTAGTAAATGCGAGGCTGGTAGTCAGAACCGCTGCAAAGACCTATCAAATACGAGGCTAGACTTCAGAAATGCTGCCAATAGCTTGCAAATAGAAGGGAAGGGGGTGCTACCTGGGGACCCATACCATTGGGGGGGTAGGAACACAGAACACGAGACCATATATACACATGTCCATGTCAATACATAGTTCATACCCATCAGTCATTAGCAATAAATGACCCGCACTGTTTTGGGATAACTGGTGTATCATTTCCAGCGTCCCATTCGTAAACGGCTCATTACACCAGATTTTTTCCGAACGCGGCGCGCGGGGAAAAAATCGGTGTCAGCCATGGAGGTGAGACCAGAATCAGTCGAGGCTTTGTTTGAAGTGCCACAGGGAGACAAAAAGTAATTGAATGGATTCGATTGAGGCTATGACAATCATTGGGGATCTGATGTTATATAGATGTTATAATTATAATTATTCTCCTCAAAGTGTCAGCTGTTTAAAGGCAAGCAGATTGTTGACAGGTGCATGACTTTGGGCCCTGGCCAACATGTTCTACCGACTGAAATTTACCCTTTGGTAATCAAACATGGCTGTGACATCACCTATAAACGGAGGTTTGAATTGGAAAATCATGTTTTAAATGGGGCAAGTCCCACAAATGCTATTCATTTTCGTCGAAGACGATATAAAATACAATGGCCTTGATGCGGCTTGATGCGGCTTGGGCGGCTCGCTCAGGAAGATTGGTGCAGCCTCATGCCCAATTTGTTGGAGGCAGATGGTTGGCACCTGGCATGCAGCGTTGCCAACAGCCAGCTCATGCACGGCAGTTGTCCTTGGGGAGGTCGCTTGATCAAGTTTCAGCTACGAGACATCCGAGTGAAGAATGCACCCCAGCTCCTTGGCTATACAGATGAAAAGCCACACTGTGGCTGGTTGGAGATGAATCTATAATACAATGTGACTTGCATAAGTGTTGATGACTTCTTGCATGCACATAGATGCATGCGCAACTGGGGCGACAGCCGCAGCATTATCAGGGATCTTGTAATTAGGGCGATGTGAGACAAGTGACATTCCCAGAACTGGTTGGACGGCAAAATGCTAGGATATACCTGTGGTTTCCTAGAGAATTTCCTCAGAATTCCGTGCGATAATTACAGCAACCCAAGCAATATCTAGCTATTTTTTCTGTCGTGGTACTGACTGAGGAATGCTGGCACACTGATCATCAGACCAGAAGTTCGATCTCTTCAGCAAAGGAACTGCTCAATCAATGGCTCCTTGGCTATCTTGACTTATATATAATTGTGGCTGAAGGGCTGGGAGGATCCATGACTTGAAGGCAAAACCGCAACAGTAGTCATACACTCAACGCTATATCCCAGTTGCACATATAATACAAGTCCACACTCCATACTAAGTATACCTTCAAAGAATATGTTCAGGGACATGGCAAGTGGGTTTTGCCACAGAAAAGCTTGGATTGAGCCCCAAAGGCCCCTATTTCAGAACAGGTTTGACCTCAGATGTGGATGTGAGGCATCAACATCAAGTCGTGGGATTTCATTGCTCCTGGTGAAGCCATCGTTCATGCATCAGTTTCCTGCAGCATCGTTCGACTTTGTTCGGTGCTCTTTGGCGACCTGGCTGCGCAAGTGATGACCTGCTTCTACGATGACAGAGCAACATCGGTGGCTTGGCACCAGATGGTGCGAAGAAATTTTCCAACAGATGGGGACAGTGCTTGCGCATTCTGGATGGAGGATGCGGAGCAGCCGTATGAGTACCTGATCCTCACCAGGCGTCGCATGGGGAAATGGGAGCAGGTGATTGCAGTAGTGGCCAATATTGATTCATCTTGGTATCCATCCATCCATTCTTGGAAGCAGTCAACCTGGGGCCTGCCAGATCCTGCCAGATCGCTGTTCAGCCATCAGGCCACAGGAAGAGAAGGAGATGTTCACAGTGTTTGTCCCTCGTCGCGAAGGGGCTGGGAACCTTGGGGGCTTCTGGAGTCCCCTGGCTTCACCACCAGACTAGTTGGTTCATTGGTGCATTGACGCAGCTTCCGCATGCATGCACAAAGAATGGGAACACTATGGAACAATGTATCATTGTCAGAGGAACATTCTTTGTGTTTGCAAAGAATGGAACGGGATGAATGCATGTGATATGGGCACCGATCAAGACCTACAATATATATAATGTTCCAATATTTGACATAAGTGTTGGATTGTTTTACATCAATGTACCAGCTATTTCGGAAAAAAAACAACAAAACATCATTGGAAGAGCGGCATCGCCTTAGCAAGGTGATCGCTCGGGTCTATGAAGACCGCTTTGCCAACTGGGCCAGTCACTTGGTACTGGCGATGGCGTCATATGAGCCAGCCTGGAAATGAAGAAAGCATATGAATCATAATATGAATCCATCATCTTTTGATATCTTAAGCATCCCCCCTAATCAACATAGACCCGGAGAGTGGCCGATTTTAAGATGGAAGGTGTCTTTCCAATTCCCCGGTTGGCAGGGTCTATGTTTGTTGCGGGGAATGGTGCATATCTGAGATGTGTTGTTCTCGCTGCCAAATTTGTCGCCCAGAAAATGGTCACTCAGCCCAGAGATCGTAATGTTTTGGATATTTTTGGTTCAACACCAGTGGGTAACCAGGAGGCCAGGTCACTCTTTAGATGATTTTTTCTTACCAGGGGCACACTCTGATGTTCATGTTTGTTATTCAAAAACATGTTCCTTTCCCACAAATTTGTTCAGTGGTTTGGGACATGTTTGCCACTCACAACCTCCATCCCTCCATTTGTGAATATTGTGAAATTATTGACCCTAGGAGTCACTTAGAACCTAGAGCTACCGATCTTGGAGGGTTATTCATATGCAAATTTGATGAATCACGCAACAACTTTTGGATGGTTCTAGACAAAGAAACATAAAATCACACACCGACGGGTACTTAGAACATCTCAGAACTACCCATGAACTCAGTTGAACTAACACCATCTAACACCTTTCTTTTTGGCCAATGCGTTGCCCCAACGAAAAGCAGCCATCTATCGCCATCGCCCCTTTCGTTTCAGGTCGCCACTTCGCCTTGGTCCTGCGCCAGGCTCGGCGCACGGCGGAGAGTTGTCTGAACCGTCCGGGCGTCGTCGAGCTGCGCCGGGCGGATGAGCGATTCTATGTGGCGAGACGAGTCGTGGGGGATGGGGTAGGGACTACGGTAGGGATATGGATATGGAGCCACAAAAAAATATGGGTGATGATTACCTTACCATGTCTTAAAGGAAATTATGATAATTATGTCAGTTGTTTTTTTTTGAATTTCTCCCTCTCCGCTTCACTGTTTTTATTTGTTTTTCTGTTTCTCTGCTCTGTTGTTTCTCTGCTTCTTTGCTTTTGGGTGGTAGCAGGTATGTATAAATGGCTGAAGGGTATGGACCCAACAAGACTGAGAGCTACTCTTAATGTGAATTGGTTGATTTGCTGGGGGTAAACAATTTTGATTGATCCTACATTGTCGGACCACGCTGGATCAACCTTGGGTAAGATCTGGAAAGTGGACCACCACGCGTTTGCATGCGTTTGCCACAGGACAATAACCGACAAACATTTTGGAAATGGTTGGTCTTCCTGTGCCGGGCTGTGTTCTGAGTGATGGCAGCTAGCATGGCCCCTATGGCATCCCTCCGTAGACCGTCCTTTCAATTGATCAACTGGTCCTGACTCTCCCGAGATTGTAATTATGGAGAGGCCTTCAAGTCTTCATTTACAACGTCATCCAGCTGGTTTGGCAATCCCGTGGTTGGTCAAAGTCACCATTTTCGATCATTTTTGTTCATGGAAGTGACAGTGTCACCGTTGACGATGGTCCAGTTTTCTCCATGCACATCCACTTCGATCCAGCATCAACATCACCCAAGTCAAAAAATTATTCAATGATGTTCAGCAAGCTGCTTCCCATACTGTACATGACTGCAGCAACCCCCAATGAGATAGAACAGTAAAATCCTACTAAGATGGTAAATGAGCAAGTTGAACCTCTTTTTGTCTTTCTGTACTGTTCTCCAATTTTTTGAGTTAAGTCCGCAATGCTCAGGTGGTTCTCTCCATGCAGAGCTTCAAGCGCGGCATGCCGCTGGTCCCCGCTCTTCCTGGGGAGCATTGCGTCACGGACATTGATGCCGGGCAGCCCCTGGGCCTGCGCCGATGGACCCGCTTCGAGCCCGATGATTTGGAAAACCCCAAGTTCCAGCTGTCTCAGCAACTTGACCCGATGAGGTCACTGTTTTGGTTCTTTGAAACCAGCTAAAGAGGCTTTCAAGACTGGAAATCTCTCATTGAATCAACCACTGCTAAAGAGGCTGTTTCAGATATATGATTATATGCGTATATATGAGTATAAGGTAATTACCTAGCCTGGAAGCAGGAACATGGTAAGGGACGAGATCAAGGTCCAAAGATCCCCAGAGTCATTTATAGCCATGGGAGTTACATTGTGTTCATGTATGGCACGGATGGGGAAGGATGGGAGAAGCAGTCAATTGGTGGCAAAAGGGTTCTCATGCAGGTATATTGGTTTGTTCGTGGAGCGCTTGGGTTTCCCGATCGAAACCTTTGATTCTTGGCTGGTATGGCGACGCTTTCCCCACCCGTCCTCAAAGTAATCTTGTGGTCAAATGTTGTCTCCCCCAAAATATATCAAAAAATGCCCTCAAACATCCCGATTCAGTTGTTGATCCGTGGGCTTAACTCGATTCCCAGGGATTCTCTAGGGTCCAAGAGCCCCAAGTGCACCATGGACTCCCTCAGCTCCACTTGTGGCTCAGGATACCTTGGACGGGCAAACGCTGGTCCCGTACCAGTGTGTGGTGCGTCGCGACGCCTGGGAAGCTGTGCGCCAACGCTTCAATGAGGCATATCCCTTACAGAAGACCGCCTACCGACATGCCAATGGCGGCTCCGGTGCCCCTGGCATGCAGCTCGGATGAGGGGACGGGTGAGACATGGTGAAACGTTGGGTCAGGTAGAGCCTTGGCCGTGCTTGGCCGTAAGAACATGTTGTTGGAACACAGGGTTCAGGTTGCAAGAGAAAGATCTCTCTCACCTATTTCTGCCACATGTTCGGAAGCGAGCTGCAGACATGTTCCCATTATATACATTCCAAAACTTGGGTGTCCCACCCCCATCCGAAAAGACTAGACCCCATCAGTCGCTGGACATTCAGATGACGTTGATAGTTTGAGAAGTCTAGCCGATTGTATGGGTAGATATGGGTAGTTTAAACCCTGGTATCGATGTGAAATGTGAACCCCAAAATGTTGGGGAAAATACAGGTTTTGACCCACTTAGATGGGCCATGGAGTTAGTGTAACTAGTGAATGGACTATACTATACTTTGGATGTGGGTTATACAGAAGTTATACATGTTACCACTAGTGTAATACTTGTTTAGCACCGGGTTGCTAACCACATAGCTGTCATCCCCTGGCCCGAGTCCGCCATGGTCCCCAAGGCACGAGGACGTCATGGCCCGTTTCGTCCCCGTGGCCCCGAAGGCCTGGAACATGTTGGAGGAACAGCTGGCAGCAGCACGGGAACCCAAGTTGGTGGTCAGGAAGACCTTCTTGGAGATGCAGGTGCCATGCTGGGCTCATCGGAAAAAATGGTGGACCTGACAATGGAAGATAGAATAATAATATAATAATAGTTTAACAATTGTTTAACATAGAATAAGGCATCACACATATCAATCACATGATATTTAAAACTGTTGTTTGAATGGGAAGATGATTTATAAACCGTGGGATTTGGCTGATTAACATAGTTTCAGATATCCATTCGGGACGCAAACGGGTTGAACATTGATTTTTATTATTTACCTGTTTGATCCTGTTTGCATTTTCCAGGGTTCATTGTCTGACTGAAAGCTCCTCCAGCAAACACCAAAGGTGCTGCACAAACTGTTCTGGATGTGGCTCTGAACAGTCCGCAAAAGCCTGTGTTTGTTTGTATACTGGATGTATGTCAAAAATAGCGACCAGTTGAATGATATATGCGTGGCAGAGTGCAAACACAATGGAATTGCATGGGCTTTGCCAACAATTTTGTTGTTTCTAGGCATTCCACTTTTCATCTCCCTTTTCATTGGGCTATGAATCTTTGAGAAGGGCAGCTGGGGGTTGAAGGGCCGTTTGTCCAAGAATTTCCAGATGGGGAGTACTTCAGAGCCAGCTGGCAGGAAGATGAGCATGCTGAAGTTGGTCGACCAGCCAGGCGGCCCAAAACCCTCACCCTGGGCCGGGCAGGTTTCAGAGCCCACTGAGCATTGGGCCCATTGGGGTTCTGTGAGGAATATCAAGTAGTAGGGGTCCACTGATGGTAGAGCTCGTGGGCTCCTTGAGCCATTTTGTGGGGACCAGCTTCAAGCGGCCCCTCTGCATGCAGTGCACCCCGTGGCCTTTGTAAAGATTTGCGCAGGCTGCTTTCAATGCACCTCTGGTCCTGTGTTTCACAGGCGGCACAGGGGTGTTGTGTTGTGTCAAATTGGCATAGTCTGGCAGCACTATACAGTATACAGCCCATGTGTCCAGGATCTATCCCCAACTCCCATGTAGTTGTCGCGGGTGGACTCCTGTTGGCAAGGCTGCTGCACCAATGTCTCAGACGGTGCTTCGCGCTCACGCCCGCGTGAACACGTGGCTGGCGCCCTTAGCACCAGGTCAAATGTACAGATTTTTAAAGCGCATGACAAATCATGGCACCAGGCCGGATTTTATACAATTGCATGTTTCATTCGTGTCATTAGGCAGTTACGCTGCCTTGGATTCCCCCACCTTCTGCTGAAGTCTGGCATATAGCTCCGCCAAAAAATGGAGAAGATATGAGAAGATGTTTCTCTTTTGTTGTGGGCAACCCAGATGATCCAGGTCAAGATGGTCAGTCAAGACTCACCAGGGAGGGTATCCGGGCTTGTTGTCTCTTCAGACTCGCATCAGACGAGCAAAAGAAAACCAGGTCAAGCGTCCAGGATTTGGACAGGATCGGCTCTTTGATCTCTCTGAAGCTGGAAGAATTCATCTTGGAGTAGATTGTGACCATTATATAGAACAGAATATATAATTAATCCCCATGAATCCATTCATACAGGATCCAAGGACCATCAAGATCCATCAAGTACTCGCAAGGCTTTAAATATTGACGTCGATGATCTTTCCTTGCCACCCTTGTTCATTCGAAGGGTTTGAAAGGGAAAATGTAATAAATCCCTTCAAGCTATGGCCAGCTGCAGCTGCCAACATGTAGTTCTCAGAAGTGGTTTAGGAAGCCCTGCATGTGGATGATGCCATGGAGGGTGTTCCTCTAGTCAGCATAGTCAGCCAAGCAAAAGATGTACCACACTGCCTGCAGTGTGGCAACATAAGAGCCCCTTTCAAGATCATATGATTTCAGTGTTTGTTTCATCATCCACCATGTTTCCCATCATGTTTTTTTCCAATGGCGGATGATGAACCCCCATTGTTCCCAATGCTTTCTCCAATTTTCCCAATGTTTCCCCGATGTTTTCAAGCCTGAGCACCTACCTTGGACTTTTCAGGAGCCATCAGATTCTCAAATCTCAACGCTGTTGGCACTGGGTGGCCGGCCCTTCTCAGATTGGAATGCCACTACGGCGTACGGGCTGATGATCCCACTTGATATTGTCGTAGGGGGGCTTGAACATGGTGACCCCATCAGCCAGAAAATGGTGAGGCCTTGTTTCCTTCAGATTGGGGGGCAACTGTTCACCTAACTTGGGCACTAAGAAATAAACAGATTAGCACCTTTCCGGGCCCCAAAGATGCCATCCCACCAGTTCTCAGCACAAACGGAGCTTACGTCGGATATCATTGATCGACCTTGTTTGTTTCTCCCCTCTAGATGGGGTGTACACTGCCCATGCAGCTTACAACGGCATGAGTTGAATAGCTCAAAGGCTATCAAAGGCTGGCATTTCCTGCCATCAATAAACTGGTATCCAGACTGCCCAGCAAAACTGTTTTTTCCCCACATGGTTAGCCCTAACATTGGGGTTTCTCAGTCCATTGTTTTCACCATCAATCTCGTTTCAAGTCTTTACCGTCTTTACCATTTAAGTTGCAGCAGCGGCTTGATGCAAGAGAATTCAGTTTCACACAAGGCGCAGTCATGGCCCTCAGACTTTATAGCCCACTTCAATTGATATCAATTGATTGGTTTATATATGTTTATAAAGCCCAAGAAACCCCCAATGGTTGATAGGAAAAACCAACGAGTTTCCCTGCAGTTTTTTCCCAAGGTGCCCAGCTTCAGTCCGGCAAAGCCTCGGACGCTCTGGGCTGTTGGGGTCCCAAGATGAAGCATCTTAGAGTGCTGCGGATTGGTGGGATCATGAACTATGGCTTCAGATGGCTTTAGTGCAAAGAGAACCATGAACATGTATGAACATATGTTAGATGTTATGATATATATATGTTTATGTATATGTATGTAAGAGCTATAGCTATACTATACTTTTTCATTTGTAGTTAATTGTAGTTATGAGATGTTAAGATTCACTAGCGGGCGAGGCGACTTGCAAGAAGGGAAACATGTCGAACATTAAAGAAGGAAGATCAGCATCACCAACACAACTTGGGACCAAAATTCATGAGATGTTGCAAGCAAAATCAAAAAGGAGCTTCAACCGACACACTGAGATGACACAACTTTTCCCATGGGTTTGGACTATTCGATGGCTTTGGTGTGGATTTTGGCAGACTTGGGCACCAAAGAAAGTAGCGAAATGGCTGCTCTTTGCCACAACTGCGGTCTCGTTGGAGATGGGTGATACGTACGTAGGGGGAGAGAGAGAAAAAAAAGAGAGAGAGAGAGAGAGTTGGGGGAAAGTGCAGCTAACTAGTCATGCAACAATAATTTTGCGACATATCTTTTTGACAGTTTGACATAGTTATTTGTTTACATCTTTGATCATTTGATCATTTCTAGCACTTTATTCTGACCTGCATACGGCGTTCACTCCAACAAGAACCATTCAAACCCAAGGTTTTCAAATTGTATCGAATGCGCTTGAAGAGCGGCTTGGCAACACATTATACACATTGGCGTGGGGCAAAGTTTCAGACCAAGATCATGTTGTAGAGAATTGTAGAACTATAGAATTATGTAGCCGCGGCCGCGGCCATTATTCCCACTCAGTCTTCGACAAAGTTTAACTGGGGCTTTCACAACGACAAAGTTTAACTTTGTCTTTGGAAGCGACATGTGTTTACTGGGCATTATCAGACCCAATGAGTACTAGTATAAATATATACCGGACTCCAGAGTTTCAAACAAATCCCACTCCAAACCCAGAGCGTGAAAAGTGCGTGAAACGACCGTGAAAAACCCGTGAAAAGACAGTGAAAAACCCGTGAAAACCAATCAACAACTTGAGCATGGAAACCACATATTTTTATTCAGAATTTTGAGGATTGATTTACGGATTCGATTAGGCTCAGGGGAAAGGTCACCCTTTTTGACTATATATATATATCAGCAGTCAATGAGTGTCTTTAAGTAAAGTCATGGTTTTACTTGGACGACAACGTTTAACTTTGTTCTTGGAAGTAGTGGGATTCCTTTTTCCCAATGTTGACTCGTAATAGTGTTGCGAGACAGTGACACCATCGCCAGGGGAAGCCTACGGACCCCACAGGTTAATACAGGTTAGGGATGAAAGACAACGTGCAGTGTTCTAATATGGGAATGAACACACGTAAGAACCGCCCGTTTATTGTAGGTGAATTGCCTCTAAACAATTAATTCTATAGCTTATTTTGCCAGATGCCAGGTTGGAATTTTTGATGACTGAGGATTTCTATTCTGCGATGAAGCATGTTCCCGAATGTTTGAGAACCTATTGCGAGAGCGATTTGTAGTCTTGAGCTGTAAAACATTTGTTTTAGACTTGTAGTCGGTGTTCTTCCAGCGGCAGCGGGATTGACATCTTCAATGGAGTGGAAGTTGAGCACTTTCATGCCGGCGGGTGGGTTGCAACTTCCAATAGTCTATTTCATCTTGGATGAAAGATATACAGCAGTTCGAATCAAAGTTCTCAGTCAAAACCAGTCAAAACCACGACCCATTTGATGGTTTCGGAAAATGAGGGACCCCAAAATTATTTCCCCATGTTTTTCAATGCTTTCAACAGGGACCATTGGAGTTTGGGGGTTGCGGTCCCTCATTTCTGATTTCGTGAGGAGAGAGGATCAGACCGTCATGCAGGCACTGGTGGGGCGGTCACCATGTGGCCATGTGGCCATGGCGACACCCAACTTTCTCCAGAGAACCCGGCAATCACTCAATATCATTTATCAATCATTTGAGGTTTCCTAAAAACTGGGGGTGCCCCCACATCATATCCATTTTATTTAGGAATTTTCCATCATAAACCATCCAGCTATTAAGGTACACCCATTTATGGACCCCCCCCTTTGTGGTTTCAGCGTCATCGAAACGTCCTTTGAAGTTCAGATGAACTGGTGTGAGAAGACCATGATAAGACCGTTTTTCAACACTTGCACGTCCAAACCACTGCATTCCCGGCTCAAGACTCCAGACCATCCCAGACCTCTTTGGCAACTGCAGCTCAGGCGAACGTTTACCACAAGTTGGGTGCAGCGCATCGGGCCTCTTCGACTGGATGAGGGAGATGATGGATCTGGATAACAATCCCAGAAAGTATGGACAACTCGGGTCATTAGTAATCCCAAAATGAGCTTGTTGCTGATTCGGAAATTACAGATCAATTATGATTCATTTGCCCAAATGGCTGTCAACACCCTGTTCACACCAAGATAGCTGGTCATTATAATAGGCATTTATAGGTGTATCGTGGTTCATCCCATCAAGCGTCGCCAGGGTCTTGGTTCATCACTCCCATATCTATATTAAATTACATATATATATAGTCTAGGGATCAAATGGAGATATTCTGAAGTCAACTGGGGAGTATTCTATTTGATGTTGGTACTGTACATCGCAGCAGACTCATTTGGCAAAAAAGGAAACCGAAAAATGCTAAACACATGTTTTATAGTGTAGTCAGTATAGTGCAAATGCAACATCAGACCTGAACAGAAACACACATGGTTAATTATCAGGCAGACATCTCACATAATGTTCCGTCCTGATTCGTGCGCACCCCCCAAAACAAGTGCTATACGTTCTTTAGAATCGAGTTTTTAAAAACTGTTCCCAAGATAGGATGCAAGCCTACATTTCAGCAAGGATTTCAATTGGCAACAATCCAACCTCAATTAAAAC